CTTCTAATAACTGTTAGGTAAATCAATATAATGGATTTTTATTTTTGTAGCTAAATCAAAGCATTCCTTTTCGCGAGTGATTGAAACTAATTTGCATTATTTAGGCTTATAAAAAACTATCACTTGGGATTTTTTCCTTTTTTTAGACAAAAGGAATAAGTCCAATAAATAAAATATATTCAAAACAAAGCATAAGAATGGGTGCTACATAACTTTCTTTTTTTAGACATAAAGGAATAAAATATAATACATAAAATACAATGATGGGTGTTATATATTTAATCAAGTGTCAATTAAATATGATGCCACAATGGACAGGCAGTATTATAGAACCAGGAGTTAGAATACAGAGGGTATTAGCTAAACTATTCCGCTCAAAGTTTAATGACCTTTCAGGTCCATGTGTCTGTGAAATGAAGTTATTGGGCAAAGAAGAACACTAGGTTCTTTTCTAGCTCTGACATTTTGTGGTTACATGAATGTGGAATGACTGAACATTGAACACAAAGGCTAAGCCATGTGCTTTTAAGTCCCCTAATCCTTCTCATCGAATGCGTGGGGGCTGAGTCTGAATCAATCACCCGGGGACCAATGGCATTGCCAGCTCCTCTGCTGCATTTGCAACTGGCCTCTTCTGTTTGTCCCTCGCTTAGTCCCGCTGTCCCTGAGTATTAGTTTAGGGATTTATCATGATGACTGGCAACTCAGGGGTGAAAGGCAGTTGAGTTCATTTAATTAGAGCTAACCTCTCTTTGTTATTAAATGTATTTAGATTTCTAATCTCAACTCTTAGCCAAGGTTTTTTGCTCACATTTCTTCTCCACCCTGTTCATTCTTTGATGGTGAATTTGAATCTTTAGCTAAGGTAATGATTGAAAAAAAAAAGGATGGAAGCATTGGGCAATGCACAGTTAGGGGTTCTACCTGTGATTAGCCTGATGGTTAGGACACAGGAAGACTGAGAGAAAGCATGTAGAAGACACAAAGCCAAGGGAAAGGGAAAGATACTTTTTTTGGTGTCTAAAGAAACTTTATTATTTTAGTTGATACTGTTATTATTAATTTCAGGACATTCATCAGCAGAACAGTAATATGCATTGGGTACTTGTTCTATACTAGGAACACTGCAAAGCATTTTACAAACAGTATTTCTTTTAATAAAATAACCCAATTAGATAAGCACCATTATTAATAATGCCTCCTTACAGATAAAGCAACTAGAATTTAGAAAGATTGGTTATCTTGTCCCAAATAACAAGGCTAGGGATTTGAAGCCAGATTACAGGGCCCCAGGGGCCCACGTGATTATGTAGAACATTGTATCGCTTCCCTGCAGAAATAGCAACCATTATATATTGAATGTTTGCTGCAAGAGGAAGTTTTAATAATTGACCTGAGATAATATCACTAGCAAGTGCTGGCATCAGACTTTAGCCTCTCTTTGATGCCGAAGGGCAAGATTTTTTGGCCACAACTGTACTTCGAAAAGAAAGTCATTGTGAATGTTTCTAGGTAGCTAAGGAATTTGTAACTAATTACAATTAAGGTACTGCTTGTGAGTTATATTGCCATTATTATAAGGAAGGAGACAAAAATGAACCATGACAACGAAATGCAATCCATGATCCCGGATTAAGTTTGGGACCATGGGGGAAAAAAATGTCATGAAGGACATTGGACAATTAGAAAAAATTATATGTGGATTGTGTATTAGGAGTCAGTATTTTGTCAATAGTAAATTTCCTGAATTATAGCAGTAAACTGTTTTTGTGAAATAATTACCATGTTTCTAGGAAAGATACTGAAGTATTTTGTGGTAAAGGGACAGGATACCCAATAGTTATTTCCAAACGTTAGTCTCAAGAAAAAAAACAATCTGTATAGAGAATGAGGATGATAAAGTCAGGGAGCAAAAATATGAAAAATTAGTGAATGATAAAAAAGAATTATTTGAGCTCCTCCAAAGGTTTGAAATTATTTAAAAATAAAGAGTAAAAAACAAAATCAATTACCAGCCAAAATCAGTTTTGTGTTCTCATGTTTGGTACATTTTTCTAGACCTGCTGAAACTATAAGTGGCTTGACAAAAAGTAAACAAGCTAAAATCTTAACATCTGGTGAAATCATTTCAGGATAGAACCATGGTAGCCTCCTATGAATATATTTATAAACCTCAGAGATGTCCTTTTGAAACAACAAAACTAAACTAAATGCTTGTGAAGCTAGTCAGCACATAGCACAGAATGGGCAAAAAAGCTTTGCTTTATCTTTGCCGTAGATATTTCCTGAGGCAATAAACTTGACTTTCTAGGGATTTTTGAATTATCCTTAGTGTTCATAAACCATTTTAGTTGTTCCTATGTTTCTCTGGGATAAACAAACCACCCAGGACCTGAGGACCAATTTAGAGAAAGGCTGTTCCTGCCCTTTCACAGAGTGTGCTAATTGAGTTAATTGAGCTCTTTCCCCCTCTTTTGTGTCTTGACTCAGGACACAACCTTCCAGAACGCTGCAGTCCCAGTGTGCTGCAAGAGTTGGGCTTTTATGCCCCCTTGATAGTCACTGAATTTTCGCATCCAGGGAGTCTGACCATCATCTCCAATTCTCCTCCCAATATATTTTTTCACCATCTAAATGGGAGGCTCAAATGCATCTCTAAAGAATGTAAAAATAAAAATCCCAAGGTAAAACAGCAAATGAAGTTTGAATTGAGAACTCTGTGATTCATGTGAACACAAAACCTGGTTATCTGATATACTCTGAAAGAACCATCAAAAGATAAGAGTTTAGCTGATGGTATATGTGCACTTCTAAAGGTCCAAATGAAAAGAGAAACTAAAAAATTACATGTGTTGCCCGGAGAAAGGGGTCTTTTGAGTTTATGACTCCCTCCCCAGTTATGTGAAGAAATGGTTAAAATTTCCGACTTTGAGTTAATTCTATTTTCAGTTGGCCAGAAGATTTTAAGAAAAATATTTCTCCTTATTTCTCCTTGGCTATTTCAAAAGAAACCCAGAAGCATATAGCTTGAAAAATGAGAAAGAAAAGAAGAGAAAAGGGAAAGGACACTAAACATTTGAGAATCTGTATCTGAGTTCTGACATTATCTGTCTGAACATTGATTCCAACTTCTATGACTTAGTTCAGTATTTCTGGACATGAAAATATTTTCTACCATGTGGATGTTGAGGACAATGAGATCACATTTATGATTGCAGAACTGAATTCTTTGTGATAAAATTCCTCATTGTATTTCCTGAAGCTTATGGGCTAATAAGGTACCATTAACTTTTCAAGGTTTTAAGAATTACTGTCAGTATGGCTTTATAAACTGAAGGAAAAAGGATATAAGTAATGTCTTCAGGCTCAGGACGAGCCAATATAAAACAGATATTTTCTGTTTAATCCTGTAATGTCTTATTTATACAACGAAGATTCAATTTTCAAATATTTAAACTTGCTTCTGGTTTTTATCTTGTTCTGTGTTCAACCCTCTTTGTTTTACATTTAAAGAATGTTCTGGTGAGATGACATTATAATATTAACTTGTCTACCTATTAATTTACTTATGTGTGATTTTAAACACATCTTTTAAAAAGGTAGACACTCTCTGGTTTTCAGAAAACACAACCCTTCTCTGTATTTAGCTATTTTCCCTTCTCCATGCCCAGAGAAAGTGCTTTCAGTTTTCCCTAATACTTTGATCCCGCCAGCTTTCAGAATGGGAATTATGTCCAAAATTTTACAAGACAGTCCAGATTGCAAATCTCCTAGGACCACATAATTCTGAGAAACTTTTGCAATTGGAGTTGAAATTATTTCAGGTCTAAGAAGCTACTGATTTTCATTTGCTTACACATCATTGCTCTCTACTATGATCGCTTTATATGTCCTAGTAGCCATGTCACTGAGGTATCTATTAATGTAAAGTGGTATACTTCATTATTTATATAAAATCTGAGTCTGAAGAAATGTTATCCTAAGGATTACTAGACTTAAAAATTTTAAGGTGTTGAACTTAAGAACATTTTAGCATATGTACAGTTAACACACAAGCAATATTCATTTTATTTTATTTCCTATATAGGAGCACAGCAGAAGCTCTTTCTGTGAGGGCATAAATATGTAAGTATGGTCCAGATCATTTTACGTAGAGGACACGGTTCCGGCTGTCCACCCTTGATTCTCACATCTTTTTTCCCCAACACTGAGAGCTAACTTGCTGCATAGAACCGCATCTTCTGACGGGGAGCTTCTTAATGTTATTTGTTGTTAAATGAGGATGGGAGGAGGGCAAAGTCTCAGATTAAATAAATTTAGAAAAAAAAATGTATGTATATTAAACTGACCTAACAGGTTGTAAGACTTCTCAGAAACTAGAATATGCCAAAATGCAATTTGAAACTCCAAGAGGGGAAAATATTATATAGAATTTTTCCAATGGAACATATCCTAAGAGCCTATGTTGTAGAATCTCTTTTCTCCTTAATAAATCTGCTCCTCATTAAGGTTCATATCCAGTCAAATTTCTTTCATGAGGTTATTCCCAAGGGCCTCAGTTAAAGGTCATTATTACTACCCTTTGGTACATTACCACAATTCTATAGTTTTCAGAATCCTCATTTTCACTATAGGCGCCATCGTTGTTGATTTTTTTTTTTGGATGGTGTCTTTGTTTCTATTAAATAAAAGCACCTGGAGGTAATAGACCAGCCACTGTTCACCTGTGTTTCACAACACCTAATTTAGTGCCCAGAACTTTGTAGGAACTCAATACATGATTACTGAAGGGCTGGAACCTCTGTGTCAAATGTCTGCTAATTGATTTCAAGAATTGCCCTGGAAACTAAACTATTTTATTTAAGAATGAGTGTATTTGACTTTTATCCTTAAATGTGTCTTTAGGTTTCTTTATGGTCTGCTTAACACTGTTTTTGACAAACAGAGAGAGCAAATCACCATAACCAAAACTTCTACTGGAAGAATTCAGACTTGACAAGAATCATGCAAGGTTGTTTTTATTAAGCTTTATATTTAGATTACAGCTAAGTATTTCAGGCATTACTTCATTTGACAAGCAGACATGACATTCTAGGAATCATTCTGACAAACCACAATCACTTCACAACTATTGGGAAGAGGAAGAGAACCCATCTAGTCTGAAGTTAACAGGTGTGTTAAGGACCTCAAAGGGTCATGAAAGGAAAGAAGCTAAATGGCAACTGCTACTCTTTTATAAGATTATTATTCTGGACAAATAACTACAAAGTAGAGCACAAGACTGCATCAGAGCTAGAGACATCTTTCATCCAAATCCATCCTTTTTATTACAGGTAGGATGCAGGGGTCATGTATCAGAAGATAAATGATCCTTTGAGAATAAGCTACATGTCATGTTTTCAATGTATAGTAATTTTACTATGATTAGCTCATGTTAAAAAAAATCAAGAAAAGAACAACTGTGTGTTTAAAACCCACTATATTAGTGACTGTAGGAGATGCCTAACCATTGAGGGTTCTTCTCTCCATTCTTCAGTTTCTTCATGAGTTCTTCTGAGAAATTTTCATTGTGACAGTCTTGACCTCTGTGTATTCATGAAAGCCATACTCGCCCCTAGAGAAAAATCCACAGAATTTAGCACAGCAGTGTAAATGTACTACAGTCCATGATTTGTGCAAGTTTGTTCTTGCTTATCTAGCTAGGGAAGATGGAAAATACTGTCTTTGCACAGAAGCGCTTCAAATAGCAGCCAGCCAACCACAAGATATCTAGTCTTACATAAATCCTCTTGTGGGGGAAGTTTTTAAACATTTTTTTTGCATCTTAAGTGATCATGTACACTTCATTGGCTTTTACAGAAATTGTCTTTTTTGACATTATTCTACTTGACTATGAACAAGCTCATCACAAAAAAAGACAATTCAGCCCAACAAGAACTTTATCATTTCTAGTTTAGGTTCAAATGAATATGGCAGATGTAGCTCAAGAAGACAAGTAGTACTGTTTAGTTACTTGAGCAGTATAATAAAACTATAAATTCAAGTAGAGATGAGCTTAGCACATTTATTGTTTCTGATTGGCCGGGAAGTCACGAGGGGGCAAAAAAAAAATCTGGCCATGCTTGTGTTTTCTTTCTAAGGTGCCCTAATATGGCTTGAAACTAAATATTTTCTGGCTGTAGTTTCAACAATATCTTTTGTTTCTTGGGAAACAACAAAAGAAAACACAACAGAACAAAACAATGCAAAACCAAAAAAGCCCTGGTTTTATTGTTAGAGTGTTTTTTCTTTCTTTCTTTCTTTTCTGTTTATTTTGTTTTTAAGAGAGGCAGAGGGTTTACTGGCCACATTCAGGCCTTTAGGCTTTTTGTGGTTGGGTTTTCCTGTTCATACAACCCCTGCCATTTTCTTGTATAACTTAAATCCAAGCTGAATGATCAGGAATTAGCCAGAGTCAGTCAGTGAGAAGCATGGTATCTTGTTACCACGTTTATTGAGACCTTCTGCCAGTTTTGGAAACTGACTGGTTTACCCATCCTTGAAGAGATAACTAAAAGAATTGGACTAAATTATTCTCTGCATTGTTTTGATGGGAGGATTAAATTACATGGACCTAAGAGTCCTCTTGAAATCCTAACACTATGTACATGAAGGCTTCCAAAGGAAAAAGATCTTGATCCTTTTCTACACCTCCCTTCTGGTTATGCAGACAGGTATGTAGAAGACATCTTTTTCTCCTGGGTAACCTAATTCTCTTACACTGATTATTTTCTTGAGCAATTAAGCTTCTGAAAATACCTTCTAAAAGCTTCAGTAGGCATGTTTTTCAAAGTAATTAAAGGGTTTAGCCTCAGTTTTCTGAAACCCATTAAAGGATAATATTTTAGTAAGAATTTTATTTCCCAAAGTTAGATAATCAACCCATGATTTTTGCCAATAGGTGTTCCATTGTATTTTCAGTTACATGGACACTTGAAACTCTCCACACAGTACTCAGTGATTATTGTCATACTCAGGCTGCAATTAAGTCCTGCTTCTTAGTATTATTCGGATACACAGACATTCCTATATTCCTGATAGAACCGAAAAACATATGTTTACATTTCTTCTTATCCTTCTGGTCTGTGTGGTCCTGTGCTTCTAAAATCTTCCATGTACCAACCGTCCAGGACCTTATTTATCAAATGCTGATTCTGCTTCAGTAGGCCTATGGAGGGTCCTGAGACTCTGCATTTCCAACAAACTTCCAGGTGACACCATTGCTTTTGACCCTGGGTCTACGCTGTAGCAATGCGTTACTACTGTTAGTAGTAGTAGTAACCCATTACATCTGTTGTACCCACCCAGAACTGAGCCTGGCACTAATTAAGTAGACACAAAGATACTGTTTGCTGAACTGACTTGGCAAATATAATCAAGCAAAAAATATTCATGCAAGCCCACCCTCTCTATAACAATTCTTACAATAATTTCACACTCCCTTTCTCCAAAGGGGTCAGGAGGAAGGAAGTACCTTTTGATGGAATGTTTGTATTTAACTCATTCCAGCCAGCACCATGATGGGAGAAGCAAAGGGCTGGGCATTAGGCGTCACCACCACGTGGACTGGTACACCACTATTTTTGTCTCTTTGAAGACCCTGTTCTCAACTGGTGAATTCGACCTTTCTCTCTTTGAGGATAAATTGTAACTGAACTCTTGGGAGTCATATGAAGTTATTTATGGCTTCAGTAATTCTCTTTAAACAAGCAGCAAATGACTTGTTAATTAAGTTTCCCAAATTTGACGTCAGGTAGACATTAACAGTAGCATCCTCAGCTGGAATTTTTGAAGTAAAAAATTACAGCATGACTGTTTTCTTTGAATTTATATATGTAAAGAAGGAAATTATCTAGATACACATTCCAGATTTTTACAACATGACTGATAGTTGATTCCTACATTCCCTCTCATTTTATTTCTGTCTGCCTCAACCTTAAAGTCTGACCAATTTGTACTCAATAAAATTGACATGTTTGGTCTATGTTAGTTATTTCATCCCTCCTGATGATTTTAACTTCAACACTTCTAGGGAAATGTTTAGATTGCTGCACCAGCAGTGAACTAACTGTCCTTCAGAATAACCTAACCTTTCTTAGAGCTTTTTGTGCAAAGTAATTAGTTCTGCCAAGGGATTCTCCAACATGGATATTATAAAGGAAAGGAACTCGGAAAGGAAGAAACTATTTGAGTCCCTGCTTTGTGACTGTAAGAATGCTAGGTAATGAACCTGCAGTATGTCATTTAACTCTCACAACCATTTTAAGAGGAATGTTAACATCTCCATTTTAGGTAGGAGGAAATAGAGGTTCTAGAGTTAGACAATGTGAACCAGGTTGCACTGTTAGCAAGTGGTGTAGTCAGGATTCAAATGTAGGTCAGTTAGTCTCCAGTTATGTTTTCTCTGCCCTGTCATGCAATTTTAATGACTGATCTTTTGTCACTCTACCTCCCAGCAACATTCCAAAGATATACATGGTTTTTTGTTACTTTACTAATAAAATTTGAGCCAATTTTCTTGAATTCAAGACTTCTTAACCTGTCTTATTTAACTATTAAATCATACTTCCCATCCCCATAAATCCCTGCCAGCCAACCAAATTCATGTCCCCTCCACGTGCAACATGTAATGTTCTATTCAAGAATGCCCTCTTCTGTACTTACTGACATCCTCCACTTGTTCCATGCCCTAGGTCAAGTCCTATATTTTCTGTGAGGTCTTCTCTTATTCTATCAACCGCCATAAAGTTTTTATCTACTGACTTCCCAGTGGGGTTAGAACCAGGGACTCTTAAGCATAAGAAGGAGCTCAGAGACCTTCTGCCTCCTTCTCTCACTAGTATCCCCACCCACAATGGCTAACCTTATCTGACAGATGAAAGCAGAGCATTAGAGAGATACCATAAATGTTATACCCTGGTGGTGCCCAGATTGTCTGACTTGTAATACTGTGCTATGTTTTAACTGCTCTTCTATCTCCTCAAGTTCTTAATGAATATATATTGAGAAGGACAATGGATCATTTTATCATTCCCCCTTTTCACTGGCTTCCCAAAGAGAGCTGTTTCACTGTAATTTTGCTGATCTATTTAAATGAGAAAATATGTACCTATTTAGTGCTTTCATAACCCTTAAAAGTGAAATTTATTTTTTCTTGCTTTCTATTTAAAAAATGAGCAGCTTTACTATGTTTGATTCCATGAGGTTTGTAGATGATATCTTTTTTCCTCCTGACTTTTAAAATTTAGTGATAAATATAAGAACATTTTAAGAAATAAAATGGTTGAAATTTTTGAATAAAATTGATCAAACATATTTTCAATTTTCTGCATATACATATGTGTGTATATATTTTTAAAAGTTTATATATCTTGGTCTCAAAAACAACTGAAGGCCCATATACATTTATATATATATTTTTCAATTTTGTCATGACTCTAAAACATGTTTTCCTTAGTCAAATTTTGCTTTCGGTTTAGATTTTAGTACCAGAAGTAACTCATTCAGGTTACTTTTAAATTTTAGTAATTTTAAAGTTACTGAGTCTGCATCAATAATATTTCAACAAATGAGAATCATTCCTCTTAAAACTGAAAATATTTTGAGAGAGGGCACCTAATTTATTCAAAAGGTATATTCAAATAACTGGCTCATTCTTATATTTGTGCACTTCTTACAGTCACCAATTCGTAGTTTCCAACTCCTTTTTGGAAATGATTCCCAAATAGACTGTATTCATATACACAGCAAGCAATTCTAAAAGTAGGCAATATTTTAATAACCAATGTAAGGTGACTACTATGGTCCCTTGAGAATGGTAGGAACTTAATGTTTCCCTTCTGCCATCATCTCTTTGCACTGGTGGTATAAACCCAGTATTTAAAGACTATTTGATGGCATGAATCTCCAGGAAAGAACAAAGGCAGGTTTTCATTCAAATAGCAACTCTGAATTAATTCCCTGGGAGTGACAAACATTTTTTTTAATCAAGGTAAGTAGCTTAATACAAAGTTCTTACAGTTCTCTTCCATTTCCAGACATCTTGTATCCCCCAAAGGGGCACTGGGAAGATACCACACTATAGCAATTCACCCTGCAAAGCAAAGAAGGACTTTATCAATCATACTTAACCTATGAAATAACTCTCAAATTCTGAATTTTAGAAATTCAGAGGGCTCCTTAACAACTCCATTCATTTCAATATAATATATTTATTTTAACTAAAATGTAGCACTGTACCCTAGAGTGCAGAAGTATAACTGTATGTATATATACAGCCTAGAAATAAATAGAATGGTACAACTTTGTGTGTGGATAGTCATTTTAGTGCATCATGTCCCTAAGAAGTTGTGGTGTGAATTGTAAAAGACAGAATGGCTAACACGCTATAGGAGAGATCCCATGGGTTGCTAGAGTCTGGAGTTTGTTGGATGTGTGTTCTTTACTGCTTATAGCCAATAAGCTTCCTAATTCTATAAGAGTTTTGTGTTTAATAGGCTAGAATCAATTGTCTTTTGTTTGTCATAAGTAGCATATTATTTATGACATAATATGTTGCGTATTATTTAGGTCACTTTTTTCACTAATTGGCTCAACAGATTGTTTAAACAGAGGCCTTGGTGGGAGTTAGATCTCACTATTTCTATTTATCCCTTGCCATATTTCATAAAATGTTTAAATATGCTTATGTGAAAAAACATAATTACAAAAACATGAATAATTAGAATTAAAGAAAAAGTTATAAAAGATTAAGACAAGGAAAAAAGTTAGAATGTAGTTATGCAGGACATGACTGATTTGTTTAGCTTTAAATTTCCGGGGGTTCCAAGTGGACAGCAAAATCTAATTACCTATATGGTTGTTACTATGCATGAAAAGAAAAAAAAATTATTTAAGGGAGAAACAATGTTCTTTTAAAATATTTTACCCTCCCTTCATGTTATTCTAATATGTGAACAAAAGTATGACTTCCACATAAATTGTATTATGTTTGAAAGAGTTTAGTTATTTGATCATAAGACAATATTCAGATGTTTTCTCAGTTAAAGCATTTGCTATCCCAATTCCCAGAGCTGCACAGTCTCACTGGATCATAGAGTTCTTACTCAAGTCTCTCTTCCTGGAGTATAGTTCCTTAGATAAAGTTACACATTCAAAAGACAACTTATCTCCGCCTTGTTTAATTGCTCATTCAACTGCAAAATCAGATCCCTACTTTGAAATTATTGGTAAAATCCCAACAGCTCTGGGATTCAATAGTTATCCTGAAAGCACCATACAACAACTATATCTGGGACAATGCCAGAACATTATTGTGGTCATGGATATATGACAATAAGGATATGGTTGTCTCTGTTTTATTAGTAGAGAAAATTCCTGACTGGGGATTCCCATGCCACTGGGTGGGATGTCATATATAAGCTTCTTACTTACACAGGTATAGAACATTTTCTTGCCCCAAAGTCAAAACTGGAAATGTGTCTTGGTTAAAAAGTGCAGAATATGAGTTTGCTCTTGACATTTCAAAGGAAACTAAACTTTTAGTATAGGTAAATGGAGAAATATTCAGTGAGAGAAAATTGTATGTTCAAAATGATCACCTTTGCCAACTGATTCTCCTTCTGTGATCCTTTCCTGTTATAAGGTAGGAAGATGCTATGACCACAAACCCTGGCTCTGTCCTTTAGTACCTGGATGATGTAGGGAAAGTTATCTAGCCTCTCTAAGCATGTTTTCTCCTCTGTGAAATGGGAGTAATAATATTTAATGGGATTGTTTCAAGGTGTGAGTGAGATTATATATAGAATGTACTTCTTTTGGTGCTGAGTAAGTCTTTAGTAAGCCAAAATGATATGCATGTAGCACTAGTAATGCTGAATTTTTAAACAATTTTATCATAGAAAGAGTCTACATTAACCACTAGCCATACTGATTATTAACCTTGTTAAAGCTTGTGGCTGTGTGCCAACACAGCATACCCCACCGCCTTGCTGAGGCCACTGGGCATGCCCTGCCTCTCGTACTCTTCTACTGCCTGCATAATGCACCCTGCAATGCTCTCCTGCTGATCCCCTAAAGCTAGCAGGTGCATGCAGTCCACACAGAGGGTGCCTATTGATTGCTTGACCCTAGTGGCCAGGAGGTTTGTGTTTCTGGGCCTCATGGGACTGTAATAATCAGGAAGACAGCTCTTAGCAGGCTACCACCTCTAGGGCAGTGCAGAGACAGCATACTGAACGAAGCACACTCCTGGTCTTCCTGTGAGAAAGGCCTGGTACTTCAGCCTAAGGGACAGGCTTTAGTTTTGCCTCACATCTAGAGGCTAGGGAGGTGCTCTTAGGGAATGTAGACAAGAAGAACCCATCTTTGCACTCTTCCTTGCCCTCACTACAGTGGGTACCTCCCAGAGAGGAGCTTATATGCTCATCTGAAGCTCCAATTTTTGTAACTGTTGTTCAGAGGACACCTCCAGATCTCCTGGTCTCGAGGTCAGCAGGTTTACTACTGTGGTCCCATAGGACTGGGTATATCTACATATGTTAAAAGCTACTGCCTGAGGATGTGGCTCCTAATCATCTGAAACTGGGTGCTGACTGAGATCCCTCCCTTTGGAACACTGATTGGTCTTGGCACAGCCTCTACAAGTGGGACCTACCAAGAATAAATCAGGGTGTTTACACAATCATAAGTGTTCAAAAGACAACCAAGAGCTATGGCAAGGTTCATCTCTTCTACAAGGCTCCTCCTTCAATAATGCAAGATTAGCTGTTTCACCTAATGCATAGGAACAAACACAGAGACTCAAGAAAAAATAAGGAAATAGAAGAATATGTAACAAATGAAAGAACAAGATAAAACCTCAGTAAAAGAGTTTAGTGAAATGGAGATAAGTAATCTACCTGATAAAGAATTCAAAGCAATTGTCATAAAGATAGGAGAAGAATGGACGAACATAGTGAGAGCTTCAACAAAGAGATGCAAAATGTAAGAAAGTACCAAAGAGAAGCCACAGAGCTGAAGAATATAATAGCTGAGCTGAAAAATACACAGAGGAGTTCAACAGCAGATTAGATGGTGACGAAGAATAGATCAGTGATCTAGAAGACAGGGCAGTGGAACTCACCCAAACAGAACAACAAAAAGAAAAAAGAGTTTAAAAAGTAAATATTGCTTAAGGGACCTGTGGGACAATTTGAAGCAGCATAATCTCCACATTATAGGGGCCACAGAAGAAGAAGAAGAGAGAGAGAGAAAGGGCAAGAAGACTTATTTGAAGAAATAATGGTTGAAAACTTCCTTAATCTGGGTTAGGAAACAGATATCCAGATTCAGGAAACAGACAGAGTTCCAAGTAAGATGACCCAAAGAGGTACATTATAATTAAAATGGGAAGAGTTAAAGGTAAAGAAAGAACTCTTAAAAGCAGCAAGAAAACAACAGTTTGTTATGGACAAGAGAACTCAGTAATACTAACAGTAGATATTTCAGCAGAAACTTTGCAGGCCAGTCAGTGGCATGATATTTTCAAAGTGCTGAAAGTGTAACTGTATAGGTAGGTAGTCCCCTTTAGATGAAGTCTCTCAGACTTCTCATTAACAGAGAGAAGCCCAAGTTCCTTAATCATGACCTTGAGTGTGAAAATTAGACTGGGTAATTCAAGAAAATGGGAGTTTGCAAACCAAGGAAAAGCAGACTAAACAGACACAGGACTCTTAGTTTCCACAAAGGACACAAATAAACCCTTGATTCATGTATCCTTCAGATATTTTGCAGGAATTTAGACCTCAACAAATGGGCTGCCTCCTGACAATAAGCCTCCTGATCCCAGAATGGGTGCAGCCAGAAGACTGATAGCTAAGATTCCTGAAACAATCTTGTCACCTCACCACTGACTAATCAGAAAAATGTGTATGAGTTGATTACATACCCTGCAATCCTTTCCCATAATTTTTCCCTTAAAAACCCCTGCTTGCAACTGTACAGAAACTTTGGGACCTTGGATAACAGCCACCCATGCTCCTTGCATGGTGCCCTGAAATAAATGCTCACTTTCTTTCACTCCATCCCTATGTCAGTGTTTGGTTTGTTGTGCATCAGGTGAGTGGACCCAGGTTTGTTTAATTCAGTAACAAAAAGAAAAAACTCCAATAAGAATTCTCTACCAGCAAGTTATCACTACTTAATGGCCTTACAAGAAATGTTAAATGGACTCCTTTAAGCTGGAAAAAAAAGAAGGCACATATTAGTAATAAGAAACTATATGAAATTTAAAAGCTCAGCAATGAAGATAAATGTATGGTAAAGGTAGTGGATTAATCACTTATGAAGCTAGTATGAAGGTTAAAAGACAAAAGTAGTAAAATTAACTATAATAATTAGTTAAGGAATACACAAAATAAAAAGATGTACAATGTGACATCAAAAACATAAACTGTGGAGGGGGGACTAAAATTGCTAACATTTTAGAATGCATTCAAACTTAAGTTACTATCAAGTTAAAACAGACTGCTATATATGTGAACCTCATGGTAACCACAAAAAACCTGTGTTAGATTCACAAAAGATAATGAGAAAGGAATCTAAAGATAACACTAAAGAAAGGCATCAAACTACGAGAGAAGAGAGCAAGAGAAGAAGAAAGGAACATAAAGGAACTTTTCCACAGAGACATTTTTTCCACAAAAGGCATACAGATGGCCAACAGCCACATGAAAAGATGCTCGTTACTAATCATCAGAGAAATGCAAATCAAAACCACAGTGAGAGATCACCTCACACCTTTTAGAATAAGTAGTACCGAAAAGACAAGAAATAATAAAATTTGGTGAGGATATGGAGAAAAGGGAACCCTTGTGCACTATTGGTGGGAATGTAAATACAGGCTTTAGTTTTGCCTCACATCTAGAGGCTAGGGAGGTGCTCTTAGGGAATGTAGACAAGAAGAACCCATCTTTGCACTCTTCCTTGCACTCACTACAGTGGGTACCTCCCAGAGAGGAGCTTATATGCTCATCTGAAGCTCCAATTTTTGTAACTGTTGTTCAGAGGACACCTCCAGATCTCCTGGTCTCGAGGTCAGCAGGTTTACTACTGTGGTCCCATAGGACTGGGTATATCTACATATGTTAAAAGCTACTGCCTGAGGATGTGGCTCCTAATCATCTGAAACTGGGTGCTGACTGAGATCCCTCCCTTTGGAACACTGATTGGTCTTGGCACAGCCTCTACAAGTGGGACCTACCAAGAATAAATCAGGGTGTTTACACAATCATAAGTGTTCAAAAGACAACCAAGAGCTATGGCAAGGTTCATCTCTTCTACAAGGCTCCTCCTTCAATAATGCAAGATTAGCTGTTTCACCTAATGCATAGGAACAAACACAGAGACTCAAGAAAAAATAAGGAAATAGAAGAATATGTAACAAATGAAAGAACAAGATAAAACCTCAGTAAAAGAGTTTAGTGAAATGGAGATAAGTAATCTACCTGATAAAGAATTCAAAGCAATTGTCATAAAGATAGGAGAAGAATGGACGAACATAGTGAGAGCTTCAACAAAGAGATGCAAAATGTAAGAAAGTACCAAAGAGAAGCCACAGAGCTGAAGAATATAATAGCTGAGCTGAAAAATACACAGAGGAGTTCAACAGCAGATTAGATGGTGACGAAGAATAGATCAGTGATCTAGAAGACAGGGCAGTGGAACTCACCCAAACAGAACAACAAAAAGAAAAAAGAGTTTAAAAAGTAAATATTGCTTAAGGGACCTGTGGGACAATTTGAAGCAGCATAATCTCCACATTATAGGGGCCACAGAAGAAGAAGAAGAGAGAGAGAGAAAGGGCAAGAAGACTTATTTGAAGAAATAATGGTTGAAAACTTCCTTAATCTGGGTTAGGAAACAGATATCCAGATTCAGGAAACAGACAGAGTTCCAAGTAAGATGACCCAAAGAGGTACATTATAATTAAAATGGGAAGAGTTAAAGGTAAAGAAAGAACTCTTAAAAGCAGCAAGAAAACAACAGTTTGTTATGGACAAGAGAACTCAGTAATACTAACAGTAGATATTTCAGCAGAAACTTTGCAGGCCAGTCAGTGGCATGATATTTTCAAAGTGCTGAAAGTGTAACTGTATAGGTAGGTAGTCCCCTTTAGATGAAGTCTCTCAGACTTCTCATTAACAGAGAGAAGCCCAAGTTCCTTAATCATGACCTTGAGTGTGAAAATTAGACTGGGTAATTCAAGAAAATGGGAGTTTGCAAACCAAGGAAAAGCAGACTAAACAGACACAGGACTCTTAGTTTCCACAAAGGACACAAATAAACCCTTGATTCATGTATCCTTCAGATATTTTGCAGGAATTTAGACCTCAACAAATGGGCTGCCTCCTGACAATAAGCCTCCTGATCCCAGAATGGGTGCAGCCAGAAGACTGATAGCTAAGATTCCTGAAACAATCTTGTCACCTCACCACTGACTAATCAGAAAAATGTGTATGAGTTGATTACATACCCTGCAATCCTTTCCCATAATTTTTCCCTTAAAAACCCCTGCTTGCAACTGTACAGAAACTTTGGGACCTTGGATAACAGCCACCCATGCTCCTTGCATGGTGCCCTGAAATAAATGCTCACTTTCTTTCACTCCATCCCTATGTCAGTGTTTGGTTTGTTGTGCATCAGGTGAGTGGACCCAGGTTTGTTTAATTCAGTAACAAAAAGAAAAAACTCCAATAAGAATTCTCTACCAGCAAGTTATCACTACTTAATGGCCTTACAAGAAATGTTAAATGGACTCCTTTAAGCTGGAAAAAAAAGAAGGCACATATTAGTAATAAGAAACTATATGAAATTTAAAAGCTCAGCAATGAAGATAAATGTATGGTAAAGGTAGTGGATTAATCACTTATGAAGCTAGTATGAAGGTTAAAAGACAAAAGTAGTAAAATTAACTATAATAATTAGTTAAGGAATACACAAAATAAAAAGATGTACAATGTGACATCAAAAACATAAACTGTGGAGGGGGGACTAAAATTGCTAACATTTTAGAATGCATTCAAACTTAAGTTACTATCAAGTTAAAACAGACTGCTATATATGTGAACCTCATGGTAACCACAAAAAACCTGTGTTAGATTCACAAAAGATAATGAGAAAGGAATCTAAAGATAACACTAAAGAAAGGCATCAAACTACGAGAGAAGAGAGCAAGAGAAGAAGAAAGGAACATAAAGGAACTTTTCCACAGAGACATTTTTTCCACAAAAGGCATACAGATGGCCAACAGCCACATGAAAAGATGCTCGTTACTAATCATCAGAGAAATGCAAATCAAAACCACAGTGAGAGATCACCTCACACCTTTTAGAATAAGTAGTACCGAAAAGACAAGAAATAATAAAATTTGGTGAGGATATGGAGAAAAGGGAACCCTTGTGCACTATTGGTGGGAATGTAAATTGATGCAGCCACTATGGAAAACACTATGGAGGTTCCTCAAAAAATAGTCCAGCATTTCCACTTCTGATATTTATCTGGAGAAAATGAAAACAGTATTTTTGAAAAGATATATAAATCCTCTATTCATTGCAGCATATTTACAATAGCCAATATATGGAAACAACTTAAGTGTCCACTCATAGATGAATGAATTAAAAAGATGGGGTATTTACACATACAATGGATTACTAGTCAGCACTAAAAGGAAGGAAATCTTTCCATTTGTGATAACATGTATGGACCTTGAGGGTATTATGCTTAGTGCAATAAGACAGAAAGACCAATACCATATGATTTCACTTAGATGTGAAATCTAAAACTCAAAACAAATAAGAAAACAAACCAAACAAAACAAAACTCATAAAAACAGAGAACATACTGGTGGCTGCTAGAGGGGAAGTGGGCTGGAGGGTGGGAGAAATAAGTGAAGGGGGTCAAGAAGTACAAAGTTCCAGATAGAAAATAAGTAAGTCATGGGGATAGTGCCACAGGGCAACTTCAGTCAATAAAGTTCTAATGCATATTCGAAAGTTGCCAAGAGAAAAAATCTTAAAAGTTCTCATCCCAAGGGGAAAAAATACTTTAACTTTATATGATGACTGATGATAATTAGATTTAATTGTGGTGATTGCTTCACATTGTATACAAATATCAATTATGTGACACACCTGAAACTGATATAATGTTATATGTCAATTTTACATCACTAAAATTTTTTTTAATGGCTCAAAATAACTTTTCAACGTTAGTCACATTGAAAAGGCAGTATCACATCAGTTTGACTTACCACACTGTCCCAGACTGCAGAGCAGAGGAGACTGTAATAGCTTTGTCAAGGTCTTTGGTAAAGATTCCTGCTGATAAGCCATAAAGAGTATTATTTGCTCTCTTGATGACATCATCTAAAGATTTAAACTTCATGATTTGCTGCACTGGTCCAAATATCTATATTACAAGAAATGAATGAATGAAATCAAAGTAATATGTTACAACTACATATTTTAAATGGTATTGTAGTGTTTTCCCCTAGAAACTATCCTAACTTGATTAAGATTCTTTTTTACTTCTCATCATAAACCTTTGTGTAAGAATCAAAATGGTAGCTTCTAGAATGGGAGGTTAACACAGGCAAGGTCCTTGTTAAACTCTCTTTGGAACAAGATGAGGTACAAATAAATAAGGCAATACTTATTTTCTAGATGTTGTAATTAGTCTTCCAAGAACTTACCATTGTGCATGAAATCATTAATTTGAGAGTTTTTTTCCATTTAAGAACATTTTCCATTCTTTCTCTAGTTTTCCTCATCTTCCAAGTCACTACATTAATAGCTAACCTGAAAAATCAATGCTTGCTTACTAGATAAGTGAACAAGCAATAATTGATAATAATCATAATATTTTAAGTATCACTGTACCATCAATTAAAATATCAAATGTTCTAAAGGAACTTAGAACTTTTCATATTTGGTGAAATTAGGTGAAACAATATGACTTTTTTCAGATCAACTCCTCAGCCAAATTTTATGCAACTTACATACATCAGTGACTCATGACTACAAGAGCTCAAATCCACAACCAGCCCATACCAACCACAGCATGATTTCATTGGCAAAGGCTTTAATCATAAGACAGGAAACTGAAATCACAATTTCTACATTCCAGCCTAACTAGCTCTTTTACTGTTCCTAGAATTTCTAGTTAGCTCAAGTCCCAGTTCAACTCATTCTGTATCTCATGCCAAGGTGGGAGAGAAACACTGGGTTTTCTTTTAAACATGAAGCTCCTATAATATATTTCCTAAAACATATGTTAAAATTAAATAAAAGAGGGGCTTCTCAGAGTGTTAACAGAATTTTTTCTCAGAAATGTAAGTTAGGGGAGATAAAAATCAGAAAAGATAAAACAGTTTTCTGCTGTTCATCTTTGATCTAAGTGTTAGGGGTGACTTAAGTCTTATACTTTATATAAAAATTAACCTAAAATAGAGCACAGGCTTAAATGTAAAACATAGGGTATAAACCTGTAGAAAAATAAAAACACACAGGAAAATGTCTGTTGGATCTAGGAGTAAACAGAGTTCATAGAACCAAAACACACTGCTCATTAAAGGAGAAATGGATAAATTGGACTTCCTCAAAATTAAAAACTTTTATTCTGAGAAAGACCTTGCTAAGATGAAAACAGGTTACAGACTGGTTGAAAGTATTTGCAAATCACGTATCCAAAAAAAGACTAGTATCTAGAATACATAAAGAAGTTGGAATAGGCTCATGAAAAGATGTTCACTATCATTAGCCATTAGGAAAATTCAAATTTAAATTATAATGAGCTATTATACCTATCAGAATGGCTAAAATTAAAAATAGTTATACCACCACATGAGCAAAGATGCAGAGAAACTGGATTACTCACACTATTAATGGGAATGTGAAATTGTTCAGTTACTCTGGGAAACAGTTTGGCAGTTTTTTAAAAACTTGCATCAATAATATGCCCCAGCAATTGACTTCTGGCACTTATCCCAGGGAAAAATAAAGACTTGTGTTGATATAAAACCTGTACCCTGTTGTTTATAGCAGTGTTATTCATAATAATCTCAAACTGGGAACAACTCAGACATTCTTCAGTGGGTGAATGATTGGACTGTGGTATTTCCATACTATGGGATACTACTCAGCAATAAAAAGAAACAACTATCCTTAAGTGCAACAACTTAGATGAATCAATAGAGAATTATGCTGGGTGAAAAACATGCCAAAATGTTGCATGAAGTATGAATCCACTTTTGTAATATTCTTGAAATGGAAAAGTTACAGTAATGGATAACAGATTAGTTGTTAAGAGAAAGCCAAGGGTTAAGGATAGGATAGGAGGGCCATGGATTTGGCTATTAAAGGGAAGCATAAGGGGTTCAAGTGGTGATGAAATGTTCTGTGTCTTGACTTTATCAATGGCAACATATTTACTATCATGTTATACTGTAGTTTTTTGTTTGTTTATAGTATCTTTATTTTTAACAGTTCCAAAATGGAAAGAAGCAAATATTTGTGAACTGGCAAATGGATAAACTGTGATCCATGTGTACCATAAATATTACTTAACAATAAAAAAGTAACAAAATTTTGATACATACAACTTGGATCAATCTAGCGTATTATGCTAAGAGAAGGAAGTCAGACTCAGAATGACATATAATGTATCTCATTTATATGAAAGTTCTGAAAAAGGCAGAACTATAGGGATGGGGAAGAAAATGAATGGTTGCTAGGAGATGGAGAAGGGGTTGAATATGATTATACTGTAGCTTTACTCAATGATACCATTGAAGGAAATTTGGTAAAGAGTACATGGGATCTTTCTGTATTATTTCTCACAGCAGCAATAGAATCTCCAATTAACTCAAATAAGAAATTGAATTTTAAAAAACTGCATATTACTTTTCCCTTATCAGTTATTTTCAAATATATTATTTCCAAAGGAGAAAAAGCAACAACGAAGAAGGAATTTTCTTGTCTATTACTTTAAGGCTGTGGGGAAGCCCCTAGAAATTGCTAAGCATCTTAATCTGTGTTTGGCCCATGAATTCCTTACTATATTTGGTCTTGATTACAAATAACTTAACAGTTACCCAAAACAGTATTGAAGAGTAACTTCTACTGAGAAAGATGTTCAAAGTAAAGAATTTTGAAGGGATACTTTGCATATGCACATGCAAAACAGGGCAACAAAGGGAACAGAACAGGATGAAACCACGTACCTCCTCCTTGGCGATGCGCATCTCATCTGTGACATCAGAGAAAACAGTGGGTTGGATAAAGTAGCCTTTGTTCCCCCATGGGCCTCCACCACACTGCAGTTTGGCCCCTTCTTTCTTTCCACTCTCAATGAGGTCAAGTATTTTTTCATATTGCTCCTTATCAATCTATTTGAAAAATATCACATGAAAAGGAAGATAGTAAATTAGCACCTTGTAAAGGCAATGCATTGCCTGGCCTATTAATGAGGAATTCAAAATGCTAGGATATATTTATGAAGTCAAATATTCCATCAAAACAGCTGAAAAAGGCTTTCTTTGTGCATATTTTATTCTCCTGACTTTTCTGGGAAAACAAAACAAAAACAAAAGCCTTGAAGACAGGTATGTGTATTTCATATTTGTTTGACGATTACGTGAGAAAAGTGTATTGATGCTGCAGACACATGGAAACCTTTTTACACAACTGTCATTTATGTAACATTGGAAGAAATGCCTGTTAATAACCAAACACCCTACGGGGAAACTGTAGCCCTAACTGAAAAAAAAAGAGTGAAAAGAGAAAAAGAGAACAGTAGTACTGGTTTAAGGAAGTATGGCAGTTGGAAAGAGATGCTCTGGGATTTTCAGAAGACTCCTAGACCTCCGTTGGGCTCTCCTCACGCCTGACCATCCATGCTGACCACAGCCTGGTCCTCCCCTTCAGTTTAGGGCCCCTTGCAGCGGTCAGTAGGTCTGCTTCCAATATCTGTCCTGTCCTGAATGTTACCATTCTGCTTCAGGAAAGTGGGCCCCATCTGAATACCTGACAAGAATTACAGAACTTAAATGGTTTGTGTAACAATTTTTCAGTCCGGAAAAAAAAAATGAGTTCGGAGTTCTGGCTGAAAACACCAGGGGTGCATACCTCTCCTCCATGCCCTGGAATTGGGGAATTCCTGTTTTGGAAGGCTGAATATGGGGTGATTTTTGGATTTTCACTGAATGGTGAAGACTGCTTTGTCTCAGATGTGGCTAGGCTTCAATTTTAAAGGAAAAACTTCAGCGTTCTAGAAGGTAAGGTTGGGGCCCCCTGTTCAACTTGTCCTATTTAAAAGGTGTTGTCCTTTATCTTCTTTTTTGATTTCTGCAATCTCTCCCATCTTCCAAGGCCCAGAAAAAAGGTTTCATAGATTTTTAACTGCACACAACCTGGCCCCCATATCCAATTAGATGAAGTGTTATCTGAAAACAAAAACCATTTTATAAAATCTGGCCCAGTATTTGTTACAGGGTTGCTTTGTGCTCCTTCTTGCACAATATTAAACTGAATGTTCCTTCATTTTCAGTAGGTCAAATAAATTGAAGTGTTTGTTTAATAAGTGTCGATTTGATATTTAAATTATTGCGTAGTATTTAAAACTAAGCAGTAGTGTTATGTTAGTTAGCTCCACTTGATTGAAATTGTAATTCGTCAGTAAATAGTTCAAGGATCCATGTACCTTCATGCTAAGCTTTTCTGGCCAGTTCCAAAATATTAATCTGACTATGCACTTAAAAAACATGATTTTTGGGGGTTTTATTTCAAGATGGGTTTCCCAAGTGAGAGTTTTTCACTGTCTGTGACCAGAGAAGGTATCTGGTGACAACCCTACCCTGCTTATGCTGTGGGAGATAAAGGGTAAAAGGATTTGTTTGTTGCAAAACTGAGATGGGCACTAACTTCTAAAAATATTGCAATTCATTGTTCAGTGTTCAAATAATGACAGTGTAATCCTACAGCCAGCAGCTGTCATTATTCTGTAGTGAAATGCACTTGTTGGGCCTCACCCTGGACATACTGCATCAGAATTTGCATTTTCACAAGACCCTCCAGTGATTCACATGCACAGGGATGACGGAGAACATTGCTCTAGAGTTTAGGACCAGTGACAGAAATTTCCAGTTATGCTTAGGGACATATTCAGTTGGGTCTGGCTTATTTTGGTTCACCATACCACAAACCTTCCTCATAAGGTTTCAGATTGACCATATCTGAATTTGGCCTTCTTTTTGGTCGTCAGGAACTTTTCAGTGATGCTAGGATGTAGCAGGGGCTCTATACTGTGTAATGGGCCATTAGCTCATGGACACATCTATGAAATGTAATAGGGCATGATATTGTTTTAACACTCCCAAAGTATACATTTTGATATGCTCAAATGTACAAAATGTTTTTTTCCTTTGGGTTAATGAGTTGAAAAAGAAGATAAATTGAGAAATGACAGTGACAAATCTCTCAAACTACTTGGAAACCATAGATCAATAAAAGCAATGAGAATAGACATACAAAGTTATTGACCTGTGATAATAGTTGTCACCCTAGATAGGTATGAGTGGAAGCATGTGATTCTCATTTATTTAACAGACACTTGAGCATGCACTGTGAACCAGGTACTCAGATAGATGTTTTATATAGATGTCTCATTTCACTACACAGTGACCCCTCAAGATGGTTATTACTACTTCCATTTTACAGATGAGGAAACAAAGCCTCAGGGAAATTAGATTTAAAATCCAGTCTCTAACTCCAAAGCCTATCTCTTCACACTAGGATAAAATGTGACTCTGCTGATAATGTTGTTTTATTCTGCAATTTATGTAGATAACATCACTTCTTTTTTCAAATGAAAATACTGATTTTTCCAAGTTTTTAAGGAAATTCACATTTTGGTCTATGAAATCAAACTGAAAGAGCCCTTTACCAATGAAGAATTTATATATATCTAATATATATAAGCTCTTCCTTAAAACAACACATACATAATTTTAAGGGTAAAGAAGCCCCATGGGCTTTTCAAGGTTTTAGTTCTCAAAGTGTCAACAAGGCTACTTACTCACTGCAATCTGTGACAAAAATCTTTCCATTTATAGGGATTAAAATTATATATTAAGAAGCTAAATCACTGGATTATTTACTTAGGAATCTTATGAATAGGTATTTTCTTAAAGTCCACTTAAAATTTTTTCTCTTAGAAATAAAGATGTGTTCTAGATCAATTTTTGAGCCTCTGATTGACTTGTGCAGATCCCCTAGGGGTATTGCCCCACAATGTTCAATATTGTTGTCTTAGATATTCTAGTCCCCTTCCTTCCCCCTCTCTTTCCCTCTCTTTTTCAGAGCTACCTCTATCTATCTATCTATATGTATGTATGTATCTATCCAGCTATCAATCATCTATCTACCTACTTATAGATACACCAAATGGGAAAAGTGCTTTGTTTTTACTTGGGTTAATAGATAAATATTTAGAGAAAGACAATCACAACTGAAAACTTAGAATTTCATCTTTTCTTGGAATGAGAGACCAAGTCAGAATTGAATTAGATATATGGCTTGGCACTCATTTGCAAAGGTACCAAATATGAACAAAATTAGCAATTAACACAAAGACAAAAATAAAACATAATGGAATAAAGATAAAACAACTTATTACTTCATTTGCCAGCTACATTATTTTAGGGCTTTTAGGTTTCAATATTTGTCATTGCCTAAATCCTAAGATTATCATACTTGGATATCCTGGCATTAGCAGGAAAATCCAAGCCAGCACCTGAGTTTTAACTAATCCTCACTGCAAACTCCATAAGGTCGAGTAGCACATCCCCTTTACTCCTTTTGTCATTTCCAGGAACCAGTCCCAGGGCTCATCTGATAGTGTTCAATAAACTTTGGTTAATCAAATTTATTTTTGGCTTAGCAAATAAGTTAAGGATAGTGTTTGTTTCAAATAAAAAGCATGGAAAGGTGTATAATTTTTAGTGTTAAAGACAAAAGCCTCTAAGTTTAATAGCTAGACTCAAGAACAGGATCTCTCAACTGTGGCCTTATTGGCATTTTGAGTCAGATAACTCTTTGTATTGGGATTGTCTGTGCATTATAAAATGTTTTGTAGCATCTCTGACCTCTTCTCACTAGAAGCCAGTTGAACCAGCCCTCTCCCCTGGTTTTTGTGATGACTAAAAATGTCTCAGATATTGCCAAATGTCTCTTTAGGGGAGAGAGAGGAAAATTGGCCCCAGTTGAGAATCACTGCTCTAAATCAAGATCCCAAAGGGCAGGAGTAAAGTCAGAACCAAAGACTCAAGAACTTGTGTAACAGACAGGGAACAGAGAAGTGTGTAGGGCAGAGGGAAAGGTGGCCTTTGTATAATAGAGACACTCTTCTTGATAATGGTTCTAAGTAGAAAGGAGAAAATGGCAACTCTACTGAACAGCTGGGCTTTACCAACAAAAATGTGAAGTTTGCCACAAACCCAGAAACTCAGGACTTTCAGGACACTTGTGCTACTGTAACAAGGTCAGTCAGAGTACCTGAAGACTCTGGAGAGGACTTACAGGCATGCTACCACCTGTATCTGTGAGATGGAAGCTGAGACAAAGGCCAGATTTGGGGGGAAAAATGGTGGGATTGAATAGGAACTTCCAAGTGGATAGAAAACTGAATACAGACATCAAGAGGTAGGCAGATTGAGGAGAACAAGAAATTTACAGCATTTAAAATTTTTCCTCATATTTTAAATTCCCCACACACCCCTTACATGGTTTTGCAACATGAAAACTGGGCAACACCAAAACGAGGGGGATTTAAAGCTATGGTTTTTTCAATCACCAAACTGATACTGTACCATCACCTAGGAAGACTCATGGTTGGAAGTAATCTTGTTCAGTACAAACTAGACCTACAGAGGATACTTTATTCTTGGTACCTGGAATGCTGTTCTTTTTATTGGATACTCACTTGAGGGCCTTGATTGACTCCCGGGGTCAGAGGATTTCCAAGAACATACTTTTTAGCCCGTTCAACACTCCTTCGAACAAACTCATCATAAATCGACTCTTCCACGAAAAGCCTCGATGCTGCTATGCAACACTGGCCCTGGTGGTAGAATACCCCATGGTGCGCAAACTCAACAGCGTTGTCCACTGCAGAGAACACGTTCATGTTAAAGAGGAGATATTTCTAAAGATTATCTATTTTTGTACATCTTTTTCAGAAGCAGTAGGTGGTGGCAGAGAAAAATCCTAAGTTATATAGTCAGACATAGATTCAATAAATTCTACCTCGTACGAGCCAGGTGACAAATGAACTTTTTTGATTCTTTACTTGCCATGGATTTGAAAACAACAAATGACAGAGTCTGAAAAAAATGGTGGTTCTCATTATAATTTAATGTGGACATTACCAAGAATGTAGGAAGTGTCCTAAGATCACATTTCATGGCAAATGATTCTTACTAATATCTCCATTTATAAAGTTAGGTGACTGTGACTATTTCTTTCAGGCCTCAGGTTCTAACTAAGTGACAAAGAAAATGTGAAATATTCATTGCATTAAGTAATTTCTAAGAAAACATTCTTAGATACGTGGATCAATAGAAAAATGGATATTCCTGAAAAAAATAACATTCACCAATCCTCAGAAAACTTTCAACTCTATTCTAGGACAAATATTTTCCAGCTCTATTTAAAGTATGCCATGTTATTTTATATATACGCCTATAAGCTCTTCTTATCGTTGTATTTCAGGTGGTAGAATGGGTATTCAAGGGGAGTAGTAGGTAGCTTTATTATCATATCCTAAACAACCAGAAGAAAACTTTCTTTGTGTTAAAATTCTCTGAATGTTCAAGATTTAGTTCAACATTATAGCGATTGGGTATTGTTATGTTTATTCTGTGAACTAACATCACCTACTTAAGGTGAAGTGGAAGCATTTTATAGAGAGGTTTAGTCAATCAGGAATCTTGTCATATTTGTAGACTATCTCACGAGGTAGTGCGCCCTAAAACGCTTCAGTTAATATCACAATAACACCAGAGGCCAGTTCCATAAGCCTTTTGTGTTTATTGCCTCATACCAATAATGCAGTTGTTAAACAGAGTTAGAGAAATGTTTGACCATCTGTTTCTGCTGAGGAAATAATTGTGGGATTCTACTCAAGAATGTAATCAGAGTGAACTTAGGATATTGTACAGTGGAGTCATATTATAATTATAGATTTAATATATGTAAATTCAATTACACTTGCTAGAAAAAGAAAAAGAGAGATTGTTAATAGATTGTCATTTTCTTCTGGTCATTTCATTTAATGAAGGTTAGATCCAGAGGGAAGGGAGTTGCCAAATGTAAAACTTCCCATTCCCCAATTGGTCTCAGCCCAACATATCTGAGGCCATCCTACCATGCTTAAAGCAATGTTAATATTTAAAGATGTGGAGTCTTAAAAGACACATCATGGTCCCTAAATACAAAACAGTTTGTTTCGAGTTCAGCTGAGAAAATGGTAATTTATTTCAAACCAGAAGGGAATTGTACCTGTGTTAGACTTATCCAGGTGTTAAAACTTTAGGATAGTTGAAGAGATTTTCATGAGTAATTTTTGGCCCTTTGACCTTAGAAGCAAACCCTTTGGGAAACTTTGTACGGTATTGTACCGCACGACCAGACACCAGACAAGGTGAAGGGCGGAAAGTCAGCAGAGTGGCCTTTACTCACAGTCGGCGTCAGCAAGCACGATGCAGGGGCTCTTGCCCCCGAGCTCCAGGGTCACCCTCTTCAGGTTGCTCATCCCAGCAGCTTGTTTGATGATTTTGCCAACCTGAAATGGAACATTACAAAAGAGGAGGCTTAATCTGCTTTCATGAAGGCAGGTTCATTTAGCATTTTAAATTTATACAATGTTTGGGCCACAGTGAAGTGTCATTAGGGAGAAATACTGAATGGCATCTTTCAGATATCAAAAGCTCCTCTGTTCAAGCATAAACATGATGAATCAGAAACACACTCATGAGAAAAGATATATAGAACATGATAGCTGATCTTGAGGTCTGTGGCTAGACAGGGGGTTATTTTCGTTTTAATCAGAGCTTCATGTTTTTACCAATTGATGTGACATACCATGATTCAACCAAACCTTACCTATTGACTTCATTCTTCTACTGAAGTCCAGAAAGCTCTATCCAGACACACTAGCATCTCACTCCTCCCTGACTCTCATCTCTCTCTCTTCCTCCTTGTACGCCCACCCTGACCTGGGCTGCTTCTCGCCCTCCCCTCCCCTGGGGTCCAGCTCAGCTCTTAGCTCCTGTGATGCCTTCTCTGATGACTCTAGGCAGACGTGAACAACCCTTGCTTCCTCTGACCTTTCAAAGTCGTGAGAACCCCTTCAGAGTCTCCCTTGTATTGTATTATTTGTATCCGTATCAATTTCTCAAACAGATGTCACCTTCTTGGTAGCAGTGACAGTGTCCTATCATTACATCTGACTGTCCATCACAGTGACCTCCTTTGACAGTTGATTGACTGGCAGATCTCTCTCTCTCTCTCTCTCTGTCTCGGTCTCTCTCTTTCTCCCTCTCTTTCCCACTGTCCCTCCACACCTTTGAAGAGTGGAATTAGAAGAAGGACATTGGATCTGTGCTCTGTGCTGCTACTAAAGTTAGCTGCAATCCTACTGTTCTGGTTTCTTCTTTAATGCTAGTTGCCTCTCTTCAGAGAAAGACATTGTTTTCTTTTTTTTTTCCCTTTTACTTTGTGGATCACTTCCCCGCAAGATTATTTTCTGTACATTGTTTCATTTTTCCGTTTCTAAAAGTTGGCCTGTTTTAGGACTATTTCTCTTTATTATTTTTATTGAAGTTTTAATACACTAAAATGGTCTTTGCTTTTCTCTTTAAGAAATGATTCTTCATCCTGCTTCTTTTATTCTCTGGATCTAGTTTCCTACTCTGCACATCAGATTTTCATAAAAAGTTTCCATCCCAGCTGAACAAAAGATGGGTAGATGCTTGCTGAGTATATGTTTAAATTTTAGGTGGCTGCTGACCTGACCGCTACTGTGTATCACAGAGCAGAGCACTAATCAGTCCGCTAATGTTTTATCTAATTTAAACACTTCATGCACTAAACCAAACCCTTATATGTAGGTTAATAAAATAACTCAAAGTAGACTTACAGTGGAGAATCCTGTCTGAAATTTCTCTTTTCCCCCATTTTTCTTCCACAGCATACTTCTTGTGACTACTTTCAAAAAACTGAATTTTCATTTAAGGTGATTAAGAATTTTCTGCTTCCTAGATGATATTCATTGCCTTTCCTCCTCTGAATTCTCCACATAATTTATGCAATTTTTTATCTTTTGTTTTCTGCTCCTTTTTCTTTTTTTTTCTTTAACTTAGAAGGGCTTACTGGACAAACTTTGTTAAAGTAGATAATTTTTGTCTTGGGGAAGGGAGTAAATCAGAGGCATTTTTCTAATAGCTACAGATGTCAAGCGAACTAGTGGGAGGAATGGTTAGAAGTAAGAAAGAAGGAGAAAGGTTACAATTCAGCTTAGCTGAAGTTCAGATGGCAAATTAAAGGTTTATTTGAGTTTTCCCAAAGGTCTAACTAGTGCCAGAACAAGGAAACACCCATTTTTACCCAAAGATTTTGCTTCCTTATTTGGAAAAAAAGTAAAGGTTCATCGTTTTTCTCAAAGAGGTCTGCAATGAAGAAAAGATAAGAATGATTAAGATAGTATGTTCCATGATATTGTGGCATGACCTTGTAGGACAGAAGCATCAAGTGTTCATGAAAATGTTCCAACTTATCACATCCTAGGCAATGTGGGTTGGATTCCATCTTGGATAAGCCCAACGGAACATCAGAATCCTTACCTTGCCAGAAGCATTTTTAGAATGAGGGTCATTGCTACAATGACCATGAAAAATATCATCTGTTGTTTGCCTCTTTCATGGTGTCTGGTAAGTTCCCTACTATCTGCCAAGCAATAAACCAGAAGTTAAAAGAGAACCCATAAAGACTGATTTTTCTGTGTGGCTTCTAAAACCATCCTAATTATTTCATATTTGATTCTTTAGTACTTAATTCACATTTAATCCTTTAATACTTCTTCGGAAGCAGTGACTGTACTGGTTTCTGGAGAAAACGATAAATAAGATAGTGTGTGAGGATAGGCGGAAAGAAGAGAGACATGGCAAGCAATGAGTATGTGCCATCATGATGATATGCTGTGGGCTGTGGGGACAAAATGCGGAGCTTTTAAATTCAGGATGCTCCTGGGACTGCAGAGAAAAGTCACAGAGCTACCACACAGTGGGAGTCAAGATAGAGCAGGTGTGGCCACAAAGAAGCAAAAGCCTGGGGGAATGAAGAGATACACAGTATAATCAGACAGTATTGGGGCAGAGATGAAATAGAGGAGACCTCTTCACAACACATATAATACTCATGCCACTTACTGAGCATTTGGTAGAGTGGGAGATGTTTTATTACTCATTAGCTCATTCAATTGTATCCAGTACAACTTGATGAAGTAGCTCTCATTTTGCAAATGAAGAAATTCGTATTTAGCAAAGATATATAACTTTTGGAAGCCACACTTCTAGGAGGGGTGGGGTCAGAATTTGAACTCAGTTGCTTCCTAGTCTCCTAATCTCATGGGCTTGGGGGCAGGTTTGGTGCCCCCAGTATACTGTAGGGGCTCAGGGATGAGCCAAAACAACAGGCAGCCGTGCTGGAGAGGGGATCAGGGCATGGTAGTCCCTGGTGCAGACTGGGGAAGGGAGTAGGTGTGAGATCTAGAGCAGGAAATATATATGGAATCTCTATGGGGAAAGGTCTAGAATGTTAGGCTGAGGAATTGGTGTCCTCCTGCCTTTACCTCCTCCGCTATGACTTCAACTTGTGACTTTACCAATTTTTAATAGATTGCCCTATGTGCAACATTTCCAATTACTGTGTCCATGGAATCCTGAATGTGGGATTGACTTTCCCCGGCCTCAGTTAGGGGTCTGCAGAATGTAAATTTTCCTATTCTATATCAATAAAAATAATAAAAAGTATACGTATTTATGTAACTAGTTTAAAAAAGATTTAAAAAATAAGATTTGATTTTCTACCATTTTAGTTCTCTATGTAAATGTTTCTTTATATTGGAGTGGCTAAATAGGAGTAAAAATATTCAAATGGGCCTCTCCTCTCTATCTAGAATGTTCTTCTTTCTTCTCAATCTCCAGGGAGTTAAAAAAAAGGAACCATTCTTCAAAACCCAGAGCAAGTTGCAGCACCCATTTAGACATCATCACTGCTTTCTGCAAACACCCTGACAGCACTCTGCAGACATCTTGTCTTATCCTGCCTTAATTCTTACTTGCGTCAGCAACTTTGTAAGAAGGGGTTATTCTCATTCTTCATCTTCTGTGCATGTACCAGTAAAAGGCATGTACTATATTTTATGTTGAATGTCTAACAATGTCACTAACCTAACAGACTGACTCAGAACAGTTTTTGTTAGATGCAGTAGGATTTCACCATACTTTTTGCTTTGCAACAATCATCTCAGTGGGTGGGAATCCATTCTCCCGAAATCCACCTTCCAGGCTGATCCCCCTTTCCCTCCTGCCCTTTCTTGCCATGCTTAAGGCTGGAGTCCTATCTTTTATCCTTCTAGCCAAGCTGGAGCCAGAGAGGCAGAAAAGTTAGGCTGGACCAGGAATAACTTTCAGAGAAGCTGAGCTGCTGGCTCCCTTGAAGAATGTTTGGGGAAGAGAGAGCCCCAAATAAGGAGCTAAGAATGAGGCTCTGCTATTTAATTTTCATAACCTACTGGGTAAAATTACACGCATTCATTCAAGTCATTGTGGCCTAATTTATATTTTCTACTATAAACTGTACTAATCAAATGACAAGGTCTAATCAGCAATATTTCTTGTCAGGGAAAGTAATGCACACACTAGAAATAGTTGCTCCAGTCCTTCTGAATTTGTAATAGGTATTTCATTTCATCTCCACTGTATCTGCTCATGTTCTGTAAATATGTTTGAAGGCTAGAGTGGGGAACAAATCATTAAAAAGAACTTTTGTTTTAAGGAAATGTCGGCTTAAAAACAGTTACATAAAACATGATCCTGACGGCTGCAGAGGCAGCTATTCCTCACTATTGTCAATGATGTTACCTCTGTAGATCCTGTGAAAGCCACTTTGTCTATATCCATGTGAGAAGAAATGGCTGCCCCTGCAGTAGGGCCATAACCAGGTACAACATTCACCACTCCGGGAGGAAACCCTGCCTGAAAGATAAAAATTCGAAAAGTTACAATGGAACTGAGAATTTAATTTTATGAAAAAGAGAGGAGGGTGTGGGATCAAAGCTGCCTCTTATGCTAACCTTATGAGTTTTTCTACCAAGAAAGATTCACTTGAGGGGTCTTATTATTTTTATTATTATTTCCTTTCTTGGCCCACTTAAAATAACCTCAAGGGTTGCACTTCTGAGGGACTATTTCTCCCTAGGGTAAGTATATATTTGACTTTTATGGATCATTGCCCCAATAATGGCTGTCTCAAATTTCATGATAGTGACCCAAAATGGTAATATATATTAAAAAGTCTGGTCAATTACTCGCATAGAAGGAAATCAAAAAAATAAAAAGCTAAAAGGATCTCACATTTTTAGGTTCTAGCTTTCGATTGTTTAGGGCATGCTAACTGGGTTACATATTCCCATTGGCATTATTTAATCAGTAAAATGTTAGGTAAGTACCATCATCCCATGCATGATCCAGCTTCACATATTAATTTCATTCCTTGTTGAAGAATTCTCAGGTAGAAAACAGGGTGGCAACTGGGATTGGCACATTAACATTTCATGGTATTTGCATGAAAATGCCTTATTTTGACATCTCTTTTGCCTCTTTAAAATTTGAAGTGAAGGATAGTTTTAAGATAGGGGCTCAGATTTCCTAAATTAAGTTTCTACTGATTAAAGCTTGTTCTTTTAATTTTTGGTAAAATGTGCAGGACAAAGAACAATAAATCATTTGCAAGAAAAAAGGTATTAACACAATGTGGATAGCTGATGAAAATAAATGTCATGTGCTATTTTGCTAGTTTTTGAGCAAGAAGATAAAAATGCAGAGGAAACCATAATAGGAAAGAGAACACAAACATACCCCTCATGGGCAGATGTGTTTAAAATAATGTGGCCCAATATTATAGCAAACATATTGCCCAGAGGCCCCCAGGGCTTCAGATGGACTAGTTAAATAAATGTGAACCTCCAGACCACTATTGGCAGTTATAAACCAGCTTTAACATGAGAGAAAGAAATGTCAACATTGAAAGAAAGCTATATCAATTTCAATATTAATTTGCATTCATGAGAGTTGGGCTATAAAGAAACAAAAGAGTGATCATAAGGTGACTGAAGACTTTGAGTCTGGTTTCCTGTCTCCATCTGGGCAGAGGTTCATTAGGGCTGACTGCCAGAAATCCTAGCTGGAAGCCATGCTGAATATGTTCCCATCACTGGACAGGAGCCATCATCAGATAATGCAGTTTACAGTAACACCAAAAGATATCTTCTAATGTAAAGTAGGACTCCTGAGTTCTTGTGCATATTTTGAGTTGGTAAACTTACCTCTTTTATTAAAGATGCCACATGAAGAGCAGTGAGAGGTGTTTGCTCTGCTGGTTTGACAATCACTGTGTTTCCGCAGCTAAGGGCAGGCCCTATCTTCCAAATGAACATGACCAACGGGAAATTCCACTAGAAAGCAATATATAACAATAGATTCTTTGTATTGCTGAAGGTCACATTTGCTAATCCAACTTCTCCATTACACACTCCCTGCAGATTCTAAATAATAATTGGAGTAGTTTTGTGTAATCATCTGGTGTAGTTGAATTAAGTTCATTGCTAAAAGCAACTCATAAATGCTAAAATGCTCCAAATAAACTAGAAATGGAGGAATGGAGCTATAAAAATTTATCAGTGTTGGTATTTTGATTTATGTTTCCTACCAGGAAAAAAAAAATCACTGTGTGGTTTAGAAATTAAGCCTTACTATTAAACATATAGTAAGTTATCTGTGTTTAATAAAGTGTGATTACTCTTCCCTCCCTGCAGACCATTTATTGTAACTATTTACCCAATAATAATATTTATTAGCATTTATTTCTAAGACATATATCTCCTTAAAGACTAAGAAGTCTAGGATCTGGAGGCTGAGAGGCTTGGTTCAAATCTCAGCTCAGTTAGTTGCAGCCATGTGCACTCAGACAAGTTACATGCTTTCTGTGCATGACTTCATCATCTGTAAGTGGTGAAAAAGTCCTCTCTGCTTCATAAGGTTGTCCTGAGCATTCATTGAGAAAGTGGGCTGAGTGCTTAACAGAGAGACTGGTTCATCATAGTCATGCAGAAAATATTAGCTATTATTAGTATTCAGGATTATGTGTTTCTTGTGAGTTCTATTGGGATTTTTGAACTAATGGAACAATGTCATTCAAAAGGTCAATGTGGATGCATTTCCATCTTATTGGGATAGAGATAAGTCATTGCCACTTCCTCATCTAAGAACCGCAGGTCACTTAACTACCTTTCTATTATGGCTTTTTTGAATATGTCAGTTACAGATGAAATCATTTAGACCGTCTCCTATTTGTTGGGCTTTAAAGAAAATCTTCATGATTCTGCTTCAAAGTATTGCCTTCTTTAAGAAGAATTTGAAATATCAAAGCCTCTTATCTAAAAGTAGAATGTATTCCATACAGATTTTCCAATAGTTTCCTCCATTGTAATTAAAGATTTTCTTTCAGGATTTGGACACTCTGGTTGATACTGTCCTCCAAGAGGTCCCAGAATGAGCTTCACAAACACTCAACATAGGAGAGCAAGGTACAGGCTTTTAATTAGAGATAAAGTGAAAGGACAGAGTTCCTGGCTCATGCCAGGAGGGGCAAGAGAGTCCGGGATGGTGTGTTGTCTAGGTGTTTTATAGGCAGTTGAGGGTTTTTCGAGAACATGTAAAAAAAGCTTAGGGGTGTGGACTTATTAAGTGGTCCCAGAATATTTAGAATTAACTTAACACAAGCAACTTCCTCTGATGATTTCTCCCTGAGATATCAGCATCTTGGTCTGAGGGCACATGAAATAAGGCCACCTGCTCAGCCCCCAAGGTGGGCTGAGGTATTTATTGTTTGCTAAAGAGTCAGTTAAGAATTTCTAACGTCTTAACTTCTTGGGTATTAAAAGGCAATCTTATCTTTAAGGTGGAATCCTTCCTGCCTTTTACTGTGCTGTTTATGGCCTGGCCTGCATGCTAAATTAGTTGTCCAGTGTGCAAAATCACCTCATCAGAACTGAAGGAGGGAAGACAGCACATAGGCCTGGGCCTTTTAGCATGCTAAGGTGAATCTTACACATGATTATAAATGATTAGCATAATAAAAACATGTGCTACTCTTCTTTATCTGGGGAATATTAACTGATCTCACTGAAGAATGACTCCAGTGCTTCATGTTTAACACAGAGCTTTGGTAGGGGGTTTCCTTGCATGTAGTTACACTGCTCTGACTGCAAATATCCTGCCTTGCTTTTTCCAGAGGCCCTCACTCTACTCTGACTACACCCACGGTCCCTGTCTCACCAGCAGCGATGACTCTGTTATATACACATAAAACATGGGTATTAAAAAGAGTATGTGCTACAGCTTTTAAAAAAACAAACCAAGCATGAAAGTTTAAAATTTATTGATGCTGTGATATTGAAACACTCAAGAGATAAATCAGGATATAGATAGGTTTCTGGACTACCTAATTCATATCCAAGCATTCAGCCACAGGGAGACCCAACTTCAACAGTTACTACATTTGCTCCACAATCAGTAAATATCTAAGGATCCATTTGTGCTGGTGAATGGTTTGTTACCAAATGAAATAGAATTGGAACTCCTTTTTTTTTTTCTTTTTAAAGATCGAGAATTATACAGGAGACCAACTTACAGGAATGATTTGGCCACACACACCAACAGGCTCATGTCTTGTATAAGTAAAAAAATCACCATCTGGAAAATAAAATACACACTTATAGACAAATGGGCTTGACATCCACCAAATGGTGATTTGGGCTATTATGAGAGGAAGGTGGAGACAATAATTCAAAAAGAAAAGAACCACATCTTCAATTATTTACAAATGAAAAGTTGAGCCTTCAAATAGTAATTTGAAGTGAGGGGAACTGTAAAACTGAGTGAAGTCAAAGCAAAGACGTGAAATTGAAAAATACCTGAAAGAAAATGTAGTTCTATTACACAGGAGAGCTATTTTGTAGATCATCTTGTTCTCAAAGGTTCCTTTCTTTCATGAGAAAGGAAGAAAAAAGTACATGGTTTAAGAAGAAGAACTGTTAAGGTTCTGTTTCTGGCAGCTCTAAATTTTGCCAGAAATGGTAGAGACTTTTTTTAAACAATAGAATTTAAAATATAGTTAAATTAAAAAATAGTAGAACTAAAAAGTTCTTCCTGTCAGCAATAATCCTTTCTTACTGGCTTGTTCTACAATGTTCTTTTTTTGCCTATGAAACAAGAAAGCAAACTCTCTGAATCCATGGGAAAAAAATGCCAAAAGTAAAAGACACTTCTTTTCAATCTGGACTTAATTCCTATGCTCCTAAGTTGATTGAGGCGAACATTTACCAAGGTTCAATTTATGCTTTGGGTTCTGCTCTGTTACATTGGTGCTTCGAGTCCTGCTGTGTTCTGTTCTAGTTCCCACAGAAGTGTCCTGGCTATCATAGCAGAAGGTGCCTTATCAAGCTCGATTTGTGCTTTAAATGACTTCTCCCACTTTGTCAAAGGGTAAATTAAGAATTTCTAAAGTGGCCACATTTCTTGGTATCATTGCGGTCTCACTATCCCCTTTTCACTTCCAGGCTATCACTTCTCACCTGCTGTCTGCTCAGATTAGATTGGAAATGCCCATCAGGGCCAGTCCTGGAGGGGGTTGTATTTGAACAGTCAGTGAGTTTGTAAGAATTAAATCCTACCCATAATATTTTTCAAAGTGATATTTTTTAAATATGCCTATCCTATTATGTGCATACTCTACTAAAATACTAAAACACACACATACACATTCACTCATAAATTCTTAAATTGGGCTATAAACACATTCCTATCTTGCTTTGAAGCTCCTTGAAGCAAACCAATGGTTTGTCTAATTAATCTGCTGTAACTATACTGAGTTAGACCAGGCACAAATGACTGTAACTCTCACTGGAGCAAGCAACGAGGCTTAAATAATTGTGTTACAGAACAAGTTATAAATGCCACTATTGGAATAAAACCCAAATAAATAATTTCAGAAGCCAGCTTTGAGAACTTTGAGCCCTTAGAGAGGCAATTGCCTTAAGTCAGTAATTGTGGGCATGCAAATGTTTTTACTCTATAATTTTCTGAAATATTTATAGTGTTATACTCTGCATGATTATGCTGACACAATTTTAAAAGCCATTTGATGAATTTTAGCAGAACTTCAGGCTTCAGAACTGCATTGTCTCAAAGTCAAGGAGAAAATTAATTTGCCTTATTTGGTTGACAGATTTAAAAAAGAGAGTTTGGAATTATTCAGCTCTACAGTAATCTCCTCCCCTACTTTCACCTCTAGTAATTTCTCAAGGCAACTTACCGATCGGTATTGTACGGCCCTGGATCTTGTCAGCCCACCCAGCACAGTATCGTAATGTTTTTATGCAGCCTCCTAAGTCCATCAGATAGGCGTTGGCAAAGAGTTTTCCAGCGTTCATAGACTCCATTGTCTGAAAAACAAATCAAACCTCAAATCTAAATGTTCATAAAAATCTTAGATTAAAAATATATAGCTAATACTTTGAATAATCATGTGCAGTACTAGACTTTTTTTTGGAAATGGAAGAAATTCTGTAAGTCATCTAGTCTGACCTCCTTTTTAAAAAATGGATACTAAAAAAAAAAGCTAAAATGACTTGTTTTGATTTGCTTAAAGTTGTATAGCAAGATCTGGATAGAAAGGGTAGTAAGATTCTGGTTTCTAAACTCTACTGCTCCTTCTGTTTCATTCTGAGTATCCTCCAGTAACCAGATTTCTAACAATTAGTCACAATTTGATAAAGACACAGCTGGTGAGAGTGGCACCTTGTCTCCTTAGTCAAATCAGAATTCCAACAAGATTTCACACCCTTTGTGACAATTTAGTGTCCATGATTGTGAATGATGCCTCAATAATCATTTTAAGTATTGCATTCCATCTGCATGTAACCAATCAATTCATACAAACTTAAATGACCCTTGGTCTTTTCACCCATGAATGTTCTTCAGCAGAATTTTTCATCATAAAACTCCCAGGTTTGCCACCATGATCATAGTTATGTTTTGAATGGTCAGGCAGTGAAGTTGGACATTTTCTGGTTCCAAGTCTGGTTCCAAGTCTGGAACCACTTCAGGATGACCTCTCTCTTCTTCGCCTGTATTCTTAAGCAGAACTTTAAAGAGCTCTTTGTCACCTGACGTTCTGGTGGGGCAGGAATGTTCAGGTGATAAACTGTGGAAGCTGTTTCTCATCTGTTTATTCAGTCTTCTGTCTCTGTATTATATTGTATGCCATCTCAAAATTTAATCAAATATGATTTTTGCATGCCTGTTCCTTTTGCCCCCTTAAGGTGCTGTGCTGACAGAGGCAGTCAGCACTCTTCATCCACAGATCAGATAAACAAGGGTAACTAAGTTCTGGCAAATTCTACTTTCTTCCTACAGGACATTTTCGTTAATATAGTTCTATTGTAGATACCTTCTAATTCTCTATTTTCATATACTTTGAATTGTGCTAAATCTTTGAGTAATAAATAGTCCTTTGGTGAACTGTAATTGCTAATGTTGATTTTTGTAAAATTATAGGCCGCTGTTACTGCCAGTTTAAGATTCTAAAGGTAGTAATAATTTACTCTGAAATCTGATTTAGTATTGGTTTGTATTAAATTGACTTCACTGTAATGCCCAATTGAGAAGAAAACAAGGAAATACCTCCCTCACCCATTTTATGTGCTGACCCATCTAAGTCTTAAAAATTTTTTTAAAAGGCAGTATGCATAAACATACAATTTTTATAAGCACATGAACTGTTGGAATTTTTCTTTAATTTTTGCTTTTTCACCCATGAAAAGAACATAATTTAATCAAGAGCATTATGAACATGGACATTTCAGGAAGGGAAAAAGTGGCCTTCTATTAAGTGTCTTGGTGAACTGGATTAAGGAGCAATAAATTAATTTCAGAGAAATAGTATGGGCACCTTTAACAAACTCTGAGATTTTCCATTGAAAGAGGTCAGTGGGCAAGTATGTTTGAGAAACTCAATGTATTATTCTAGGATAGTCACTGCATGTGACCTTGTTAAAGGCTCTGAGAAATTCTTAAGTAAAGGAAACAGATCTGTTTGATTTGGTTTAAGTTGGGGTTTACCAAGGGTTAGACTAGAATCTACTGTGGGAATAGTAGAAATCAACATTCCTAGAGCTAGAATGTAGATTACTACCTGAGAATAAGCTCAGTGGTTTAGTTCCCATACAAGAGCTGGTAGAAGTCTTTTTGTTTTGTTTGTAGAGAGCACATAGCGATCACTAAAACCAAAGCAACTTGCCAACCCAAACAACAAATGCTTTCAAGAGATCTTGTTACTCCCCCAGTTTGATGAATACTCACTGCCAGGAGCAGACGATCTCTTTCAATTAAATCAGCCAGCTTGTATATTAGCCGTCCCCTCTCTGAAGCATCCATGGTGCGCCATGGAGAGCCGATCTGAAAAGCCTTTCTCGCTGCTTTCACTGCTTTGTCAACATCCTCCTGCACGTCAGAGAATTCAACTCAGAAGGTGAAACATATTAGCAAATCCAATGGCAATAACCTTATAAAGCAGACCCAGGCTCCCCAGAAACAGGTACTGTGTCTTCATTAGCCCCAACTCGAGCACACTGTACCAACGCAACTACCGTATATTGGAATTACACCTGTTGCCTAATCCTTAGCATGATGAGTTCAACATAGTACATACTTGATTTTCTAGAATAGAAATATAATAATATTTTAATAGTTGCTATCCTTAGAGTGCTTACAATGTATCAGATCATGTTCTAATTGCTTTATACATGTTACCTCATTTAATTCTCAGCAATTTCATAAGATACATTTATTTCCCATTTTACAGGTGAAGACACTAATGCAGAAAGAGAGAGATTTGCCCAAGGTCAATAGCTGAAAGTGGCTGCCTGGCTTCTCACCACTGATCGTGCTGCTTTACTGACTCGATTACGGAGGGTTCCAGGGAAAGCTCGGGATCTAAACAGCGAGTCTCTTCTTGGCTCTCTGGTGTCTCTATAACCTGTGCACTCTCATGAAGAACACATTGAAGAGTGAGTAAGAACTGTGTTTTATGATTGAAGAGTAAATGTTATAAACATGGGCTCATTTCTCCTGTACAAGAGGAAAAAGACAGAGAGGCAGTGGAACTGGTGTAGAGAAGGGTCTTATATTACAACCTCTCATTTCCCAGCTGGGTACAAAGAGATCCTTTTCAATCGCTAACTAGGTAACAGAGTCAGTTTTTTATTATTAAGGCACTGCTTAAAACTACATTAATTCAAGCAAAAGTCAAATGATCAAGTAATTCCACACCCAGTCTAGCCTTCTGGCCCCCATTGATGTAGCCTTCACTCACACTGTTTCCTGAACTGGGTTTGTTGGTCCTGTTCTTTCCTACACACTCTACCCCAGCCACTACATTCCCTAAAGCTCGCTGCTCAGATCTCTTCTGAGTGCCTATAGAAAAACTACTTCAGAAACCACCACCTCTTCCATTACTATTTTGTGCGTCTTCTTTGTTCCCATCAAATCAGCTTTTTTTTTTTCACCAAAAAAAAATATATATATATATATATACAAAAGGTTCTTTTGTATATAGGACTAGCTACTACATGGTGTTCCATGAGCTCCACAAATCATGGCTACATGTTAGGCCAGTAGGTTGTAGCTTTTTGCAGAAGACATCAAATCATTTCCTTTGAGACTATGAGGCAAGGATTGTCCTAAACTTTTTGTAAGTTAACCCACAATTAATTTGAACTCCATTCAAGGATGACACCTCCTAATTTGGAAATCTTGAACTTCAAATTAGTATCTCCTGCCTTAGGCTGTATTCCATTAGGAAGTCCCAAATGTATGAGTCTGAAAATTAAAATATAAACAAAGTATTTTTACAGCATTTGTCACCACACTAAGATGATGGGGGGGGGCGCAAAAGGAATATTTTAGAAGTATAATCTGCTCTGATTAAGTGATAATATTTAGAAACTATAAGCCAACATTCTTTCCCCATAAAACATCATACATTTGTGTATTTCACTGTCCAACTTTTAAAAGTATGATTTGAGTATAAGCAATAAAATATATACATTATTATTGCCCTTCCTGAGAAATACATATACAGCCATATTTTGGGCATTTGTTAATCACATTGATTGCTTATATTCAGATACTGTTTTGCCATAGGTTCTAATCTTTCCCCAGTCGTATTCAGTTTGAAGAAAAAGTAAACCACAAGAATATGAAGTTGCCAGTAAGATCTGTGGGTACCTCAGCTTGTAAAATACATGCTGCTAAATGTTTAGGCAGAGCTGTGTGGCACAGCTTTCATTTGAATCTTTCTGCTCAGTAACCTGCCATTGGCCTTAGCCTGATATGGTTGATCACAGGCATCCTGGTCTCAAAGCTAGATAAAATAGCTTTAAGACAAGCATCTCTGCCATATTTCTGAAGCCTGTTGCTATGAACAAAGACCTTCTGGTGGTTATGTCCTTCCGATGATGTTCTCCTCCTTTTCTCATTTCTTATATTTTCTCTCACCAGGTGCAGAAATAGAATAATGGTAGTTAATATATAACTTTGGAACAAAACCACTCAGATTTGAATTCTAGCTCCTTACTTATTGGCTAGGCAAACTGCGAGGCATCCATTCACCCACCCATCCACCTAAAGATTTGCTGAGCACTATGTTCTGTAACATTCTTATCCTCAGACTGCGAGTGATAAAATAGTGAAGAAAGGAGATTGGCCTTTTGAAAATTCCAGTTGAGTGGGAGACACATACATCCAAACAGTCACATCATTATAAACCGTGAAAAATATTCTGAAGTGAAATATATTGTGATAGGACTTCTCTAAGCTTCAGTTTTCTTATCTTTAAAATAGGGATAAGTTACCTCACGGAGCTGTGTTGAAGATTCAGTAAGTTAACACTTGAAACACATTTTCCATGTGACAAAGCCATTATGTTAAGTATTCATTAAAGGGCAGCAGTTGGAGCCATCAAAACGACCTTAAAATAACTCAGCAGTTCAAGGATATCTTAATCCTTCCTTTCAGTTTTCACTGGCCTGAATTATTTTCGGCCCCTATTATCTCATATTGCTGCTAGCCTTCCCAAGTCTATTCTCTTCTCTTCTCAAACTCTCTTGCCTATTGCTACCAGGAAAATCTTCCTCTAATAATTTGCCTTTCAAATATTTGCAACTTCTCACTTTTGCCTAAAGTCCCAAGGCCAAACTCCTGTTTCTGAATTTCAAGGCCCAGCCTTTTTGGGCCCCACTTGACTTATCCAAACTTGTGTTCATATTTTTCTACTCTGTCTGGCCTAACTGCTACTCACCTTTGCTCCTGTAATTCTCCTTGCCTAGAATGTTCTACCAACACACTCCTTTACTTTTAAAATCCAACATATTCTTTAAGACCTAGCTCAAATATCACAACCTACCTAAACCTTGCCAGACTAATCCAGCTTGATAATAGCTACTAGTTAAAAGCCTATTAAGTCCCAGGAACTAAATTAAACCTTTTATAACCCCAGTTTCTATAATAGTTGCGCCTCATAGGCCTGTTTTACAGGGCATGAAATCAACCAAAGTTTGATCCCACATCTGACTCCAAAATCCAGTTTTGTAATTCTGCAAGACTATACTGATAATCTCCTTTGCAATGAATATTTACTACTATCTTCAATATAATCTGTAATATTTCTTACTGTTCTGGGCCTATATAATAGGTAGTTAATAGATACATGCAAAAATTTTGTTACCTATCTTTTCAACTCATCATGTTACAATGATTTTATAGGAGGGTGCTCCTTATATAAATAATCAGCTTATATTGACATTTATTTAATAAATATTTGAATTTATTCCATTATATAGCAAAGCTTGTACATGAATCAAAACTACCAGGCATACTTTTTTTAAAAAAATTTATTCTAGGACTAGTATTTCTTGGATTTTTATTCCAGGACTAGCATTTCCAAGAGCTTAGGTTGTTAATTAACCAGAAAACAATTTGGTACATTAACTTAGATTTGCTACCATCAGTAACACTTTTGCCTTCTAGTTTTTAAAACATTCCTTTCTTGAAGTAAGGGACCAAAGCTGAGTGTATGAAGACCATTCAGATGATGATAAACTATCAAATGCCTCTTACTCACAGTGGAGGAAGGACGGAACTCTTCCTTCCCTTCCAGACTGTGCATTTCTATATGGAAATCATCTGAACTCGGTGAAAAGAGTTATCAGACCAGTTTTACTTTTACACCTGTCATAGGCACTTACTTTAATGGACATTCACTTTTATCCCCACCAATTATTTGTTAGGTCATGCTTTAGTATTAAAAGCCATTTTCAGGATTAGTCACTATAGCCCAAAAGAGCCACTGAAGCGAAAAGAAAACAGTTCCCACCCACATCTGAGCTTTGCTTTGTAACCTCCGTTTGTTCTTGCTCCTCCTCTTTTCTTTATAATGCCACTGAATGGAGGTATATAGCCCATTGTTAGCTCCATTGTACTCACAAATTAAATCCTTAAAACCTCTTGGCTCATTATCTGAAGAGTCAGCTCTAGAGTATTAGGTTTACTGTGACTATGTAATTTACTAGATTTGTACCTTTCACTAAACAATGTTAGAAGTTACTATTCATTTGTCAGCAAAATTGTGAGAATAGCAAAAATTATTTAAAACAAATATTAGTAGAGCATTCCAAAAAAAGAATATGATGAAGAGGGCTCGGGAAGTTAAGCAAACAGTTGCTTACCCTGAACAGTTTATACCAAAGACAATTGAACTTGAGTGATCAAGTGTCCAGCCAACTTGATTAGCACTGGGACCCCGATTTGAAGCTTTGATGGATGTTAATGAGTGTTCTTGATCTACGTTTGCACAGACAATACTGCTTTCCTATGAGTAGGAGTAATTGTCCATAAGCTCACAGCAAATAAATGACAAATATTTCTAAAGCTTCAGATCATCAGTACTCCCTCCCTACACTTTAGAAAGAAAGTAAATCCCACCAGCCATGCCAAGAAAAGGCCTCAGGTTTCACCTGATGGGATTTCAACGGGAACTCCAGGCACATACCTGTTTTACTGATGGAAGGAAACCTGGAAGCCATAGCACAGCAAGATGTCCAAGGCCCCAGAGCTAAAACACCAAGAATACTTTTTCTTTTGTCAATTGCACATTACAAACGCTCTGCAGTCTCCTGCCTGAGTGGCATTTATTATCTCTGGAGAGAGAGAGTAGGCAGCTGCCAGGGGCTCAGCTCTGCCTTCAACTTGTCCTTATTGCTGCTTTTCCCCACTCCCCAAGGTTGGCAGAGCTACTCAAGGAACTAAAAGGACATTTGAGGCAGTGCAGTGCTGTGTAGATCTCTAGAAGTCTCTGATAAAAAAATATTCCTCTTTGTTGAATATGAAAAATACATTTTTGTCTTATTTCTGGGAATGGCTCATAGGGCACAGGCCTTTGGGTCTCCGAGAGCTTGTTTCTCTGCCCATGTTTGATCCTGTAACATTTAAAGAGGTGCAGAGTGGTTATCATGGTACAGTTTCCAATCCTCGACTTTTTTACTTGTTAAAGTCCATATCCCCTGTTACATGCTAACAGAGGAGATCATGTGTAGTCACTGCCTTAGCTCAGCGGCTCTCAGAGTGTATTGCCGCACCCCCAACCTGCAATATTAACATCACTTGAGAATTTGAGAGAAAAGCAATTTCTGAGGCTCCACGCTAGAATTACCGAAACAAACTGTGGGAGTGGGCTCAGGAATCTGTGTTTTAATGAGACTTCCAGGAAATTCTGAGGCATGAAAAATACCGAGAGTCACTGACTTACTTAACAGTTAATTTAAGTACTAGACTGCTTAGGTGAGGTGTGTGGGGTATGTGGAAACTCAAATCTTGATGGGGGAGATTATTTCATTGATCTGTTACATATAGTGCATTAGATGCTAAGGGTATATATGTGCGCTGTAGTGTTGATCTCTACAAGAAGCATATTTCTCAGACAAATTAACCAATAACTAGATAACACAAAGGCTGTAATATAGGTAAATAGGATGATTTATAATGACAGAGAAGAGAGCAGTTCTACCTGGGAAGGTTAGAGAAGGTGGAAAGAAGTGATTCAACGACTGAATCAATGATTGAGGCTCCGTCATGTGCTTGGAACATTTAAAGCACTTTATGTGCTTCTTATTAAATTTCCCCAAGTTTTTCCTATCTCCCCATTCTATGTGAAAAGGAATAGAAACTCAGAGAGAGTAAATCAGATGTGGAACCTCTGCTCTCTTACCATAGATGTTGATTTAAACAAAGGTCCCGAGGCAGTGATCAGCACAAAATGTTTGGGGTGTGATATGGGGCATGGTGAAGCTGGAACTCTGACACTGATGGGTGGCTTGAGACAGCAGCCAAACACAGGTTTTTTGTCATTTTTTTTTTCTCTTGAGAGGCTGTAAGAAGCCCTTGAAGAATTTATGTGCAGATGAACTCTGGTATACACGGAAAGTGAATTCTGCAAGCAGGTGTCATGTCGCCATCCTATTCTGCTTCTACTTCTCAAGCTGTTGACCGTCTAGCTAAACTTTATACTCTCACCCCTTGAGGCATGGATCTTATTTCTTCTGATAATAATGCAACCTGAATCCAGTCCTTCCCTAAGCCCAAAAGAGCCCCTGATACCGATGGCTATCTTGGAATAGATCTGCTAGGCGTAACATCCTGAGATTAGTGATCTTCATCTCATTGACTGGGGATGAGGGAAGGCGAGAGAATGGAAAATGGACAGGAACACGTGGCTGCCACAATGGACCCAACACAATGGACCAATGGCGGCATCCTCGGGTTGTGCTGACTTCCTCTTCCAGTAGCCTTTTCATACAGCAAAATAATTTACCTCTGAACATCTTATGTGACAGAGATGTATAGCTTGATAATTAATATCTGGACAACTAAAGACCAGAAAAAACATTTCAAATTAGCCTGAAAAACATACACACACTTTAAGGTAGGTGTTTGGATAAAATTCTGAAGGCATTTAGTCTCCTCACTCCTGAGGCTATTTAAAATTGCCTTATCTTACTTATATTTATAATAATAACAAATAAAGCAGTAGCCCTGTCAATCACAGACTCTGTGCTCAGAAGGACACATCTGAATGCTGATTTCATGATTTCTTAGCAATGTCATCTAGTAAATTACTTTACCTTCCCATTTTGCTATTTCATCATCATTTGTAAAAGCAGCTAAAAATAGTACCTTTCTCATAGTTTTGCTCTGAGTATTAAAACAACATTTAGGATAAAAACAAAAACCCTCTAGATAATAGGTGGGTTTTGTTGTATTACTAGCTAGAGAGCAACAGTACTTTAAATTTATGATTCGATTTAAGTCATTTTGAAATTCAATTTTAGCAGTGCTGATTAATATTAATTCAATGATTTTTAGTGAAGTAATTGGCAATGTATTGTTCTAAAAGTCTTTTATTTTCTTTTAATTTCATTTTGCAACTTGTTAGAATAATTTTACATGAATATAGGATTTTTCTGCTTGTGGCATCTATGACCAGTCACTTCAAGTGCAGTCTCTTTGTACAATAAACACAAATATTATTTTGATTAAAAAGCAAGCAAGGAGAAACGTATGGAAAAAAAGTCACCACAACACTGAGAAGCATAGGCTCATCATTGTCACATGACTACTGAGTGCCCTTTATGTGCCAAGAAAATTTCCCCAGATGAGCCCAGAAACCATACTTTCATGACATGTGTACTTGAAATCATAACGGGGTTTGAGAGCTCAGGACAGCAAGAAATAAAAAAAGCCGGCATCCACTGGAACCAAGTGTTAGGAAACTCACCTTATCTCCCTCTTCTACCTCGCAGAGTTTCTCCTCAGTTGCAGGATTCAAGACAGGAAATTTCTTGCCACTTACTGAATTATGCCATTCATTGTTTATGAAAATCTGTAGAGAGGGAGAGAGAATAAGGAAAAACATTTAAATATGCAGCAAATTAAGGAATTTTAAAAAAATGTAAACTAAAGCATTCCAGAATGCCTAAGTGAGGCCAGTGTTACAACCTCACCTTTATATCCATCTGCCCTGCAAGAATTTTTTGGTCATTTAAGACATTTTATACACACACACACACACACACACACACACACACTCCAATAAAGTCATACTTTTAAATTACACTAAGGTATAAGGTCATTTCAGTGTCTAAAAATGCAGACTAGAGAAAACAATATAGAGAAAGATGGTTTACCTGAACCTGAGGCAAGAGCAGAGGCTTTGTGAGCTTTATGAATCATTGTTCCTAGTTTCCACATCAGATTCTCAACATGTTCGTTTGGGGCTACTGGTGATTTGGTATCTTAAGCAACTATTTTCTGATCTTTTATTTTACTGTTTTAAAGGTAGCATTTGGGAGGATTTTAAAATAAGTTTGCTCAAAAAATAATTGACTAGTGGCACCTTTTTCATTGAACTTTTAAAAGCATAAGGGTTTTGTTCTTCCCTTTAAAAGATCATCTAATAATTTATTTGTCCTCAGGTAAAATCAGGCACTAGATTTCTTAGTGATATCAGAAATACAGATGCATCTAAAGAAACAGAGGGAGCACATCCCGTGCTCATGGATAGGAAGAATTAATATTGTCAAATGGCCATTCTGCCTACAGTAATCTACAGATTCAATGCAATCCCTATCAAAATACCAACAGCATTCTTCAATGAACTAGAGCAAATAGTTCTAAAATTCATATGGCACCACAAAGACCCCAAATAGCCAAAGCAATCCTGACAAGGAAGAATAAAGTTGGAGGATTATACTCCCCAACTTCAAGCTCTATTACAAAGCCACAGTAATCAAGACAGTTTGGTACTGGCATAAGAACAGACCCATAGACCAACGGAAAGCCCAGATATAAACCCAAGCACATATGGTCAATTAACATATGATAAAGGGCCATGAATATACAATGGGGAAATGACAGCCTCTTCAACAACTGGTGTTGGCAAAACTGGACAGCTACATGCAAGAGAATGAAACTGGATTATTGTCTGATCCCATACACAAAAGTAAACTCAAAATGGATTGAAGACCTGAATGTAAGTCATGAAACCATAAAACTCTTAGAAGAAAACATAGACAAAAATCTCTTGAATATAAACATGAACAACTTTTCTCCTGAAGGTATCTCATTGGGCAAGGGAAATAAAATAAAAAATGAACAAATTTGAGTACATCAAGCTAAAAAGCTTCTGTACAGCAAAGGACACCATCAATAGAACAAAAAGGCATCCTACAGTATGGGAGAATATATTTGTAAATGATATATCCAACAAGGGGTTAACATCTAAAATATATAAAGAATACACATGCCTCAACACCCAAAAAGCAAATAACCCTATTAGGAAATGGGTGGAGGATATGAACAGACACTTCTCCAAAGAAGAAATTCAGATGGCCAACAGGCACATGAAAAGATGCTCCACATCACTAATTATCAGGGAAATGCAAATAAAAACCACAATGAGATATCACCTCACACCAGTTAGGAAGGCCAACATAGAAAAGACTAGGAACCACAAATGCAGGTGAGGATGTGGAGAAAGGGGAACCCTCATACACTACTGGTGGGAATATAAACTAGTTCAACCATTGTGGAAAGCCGTATGGAGGTTCCTCAAAAAACTAAAAATAGGGATACTATTTGACCCAGGAAGTCCACTCCTAGGAATTTACCCAACAAAAAGAACTTCTCATATTCAAAAAGACATATGCATCCCTATGTTTATCGCAGCACATTTATAATAGCCAAGATACGGAAGCAACCTTAGTGTCCATCAGTAGATGAATGGATAAAGAAAAGGGGGTACATATACACAATGGAATATTATTCAGCCATAAGAAGAAAGCAAATCCTACCATTTGCAGCAACATGGATGGAGCTAGAGGGTATTATGCTCAGTGAAATAAATCAGGCAGAGAAAGACAAATACCAAATGATTTCCCTCATTTGTGGAGTATAACAATGAAGCAAAACTGAAGGAACAAAATAGCAGCAGACTCACAGACTCCAAGAAGGGACTAGTGGTTAACAAAGGGGAGGGGTAGGGGAAGGGTGGGTGAGGGTGGGTGGGGAGGGAGGAAAAAGGGGATGGTGGGGTATCATGATTGGTTCACATGGTGTGTGGGGGGTCACAGGGAAGACAGCGTAGCTCAGAGAAGACTAATAGAGACTCTGTGGCATCTTACTACACTGATGGACAGTGACTGCAATGGGGTATGGGAGGGGACTTGATAATAAAGGTGAATGTAATGACCACATTGTTTTCCTTGTGAAACCTTCATAAGAGTGTATATCAATGATACCTTAATAAAAAAAGAAAAAGAAAAAGAAAGAAAGAAAAAGGAAGGAAGGAAGGAAGGAAGGAAGGAAGGAAGGAAGGAAGGAAGGAAGGAAGGAAGGAAGGAAGGAAGGAAGGAAGGAAGGAAGGAAGAAAAAGAAACAGAGGGGTCTAGAAAATATGGAACTTTGTTCTGTGTACAGTATAAAAGAAGAGAAATACTTAAAAAATGTTGGCATGTCATTTAAAAAGTCTGAGTTTCTACATGTGCCATCCTGGATTTGCATTTCATTATGAAGTCAAATAGAGCTTTGATATCTCATTTCCCTTTTACTAGAGTAAATGTATTTTACAAAGTCAAGTCTCTGAGAATAAAGCTTTATTTTGTTTCTGACAAAAGCTAGAATTTTTTCTTCCTTCTCCCATTCCATTCCTTCCTGTTTATTCTTTTTCTTATTTATTTTTAAAATATGTAAAGCAGTCATAAGTACAGTATTGAACATGTGTCTCCAACTTTCTGTTTGATTTATTATTGCAACACAAACTAGTTTATCTACTTTTGAATTGCAGGTAGTCAATACATGTAACTTCAAATGAAGGGAGACATATGCACTGAATTTATACTATATATCTTAATTCAGATACTTCTCCCAACTTGATATTTAAAGATAAATTATTGCTAGTGCAACCCTGAGGAGAATGTATTGAAACATGGCTCCAATCTGATGGTATAATAAATACAAATCACTTTGCTCTTAAAAATTCCCCAGTGACAGATATCAAGATTATATATTATTGGTTTAATGACTTATACTGTCTATATTTGAAATAAAATCAGTCTTTTAAATTAACCTATGAGTTCATACTAAATTATTCTATCGTGTAATGTCTATAATATAGCTTAAAATTTGGTCAAGTTAATAAAATACACATTAACCACATATCCCTAAATGCTTAAGTACAATTAATTTTATATTCTGTGATTTACAAGGTTATTTAGACAGACAGCCTGTTCACAAAAATATTTCCCTGGTTTCCTATACTTATACTGTAAAATTCATCATTTTTAAAGTCATTTTTAAATGTCTGCCTTCCCCCCAGGGCTGCAAGCTCTATAGGGAAAAGCCAAAGACTGTGTTTGTCTGTTTTTTCTGGTTTATCCTGTGTCCAGCACAATCCCAGCCACCAAATGATTTTAACCTCAGTAAAGACTTCTTGAGTAAATCACTTAAACTTGAATCAATGAACCTACAGTCCTGTAGCTACACAGGGATAAGACCTATAATATTGGGCACATGCGTACCCTATTTTGTATTTAATTTGACTGTCTTCAGCATGATGCCCTTCTGTTCCACACCTTTACAAGGGGAAGGGGAAGCCTTCTTGTCTGTTCACACTAACACAATCAGGCGTACGATGAGACAGCATCCACCTATGTATTTGGAGGAGCTCAAAAGAATTGCAATGCTAGGCCTGGAGGTGATAGGACAAAGATATGAGCATGAGTAACTAAAGGTGGAGGGGGTGCAAAGCCATTCAGATGAAGAGAATAAATGTCTGAAGACATATATATGGATGTATGGGAAAGACAGTAGTATCAGGAAAACCTTGTTTCTCTGATTGGGTAATGTACTACAGATGAAGACTGTAACATTCCTATTACTCTCCCAGGAAAAAAAAAAATGTTGGCATCTTTGTCCAACTTGAAGAAAGTTAAGTTCAGATTAAAATACTGCCTGGCCCGATGTCTTTCAGAATGAATCAGCATTTTATCAGAAACACATTTTACAGAATTCTGTAATTACTTTGAATGACTATTTTCTTTTATGTGCCTCTAGCCCCTACCCCTTTGTACTTTTCTTCCCAAGGAATGGCTGGGAAACATTTTAATCAACCTGTCCCAAATTCACTCACTGTCACTCTAACTTTATGCTGCTCTCATCTCAAACTAAAGTTCTGAAGCTTGCACATCCTCTCTCCTACGTCTCTCTCCGTTTCTCTCTCTCTCACACACACGTGCACACACCCTCTCCTGTTAATGATGAGCGCACACCCTCTCCTGTTAATGACACACCCCATCACTAGTCATCCTTTTGTATCACCTTGCTATAGTCTACCACAAAAACTTCTCCCTGTTCTCCCTGCCCCCCACCTCTGCCTAACTGGAATTTAATTTTCACTCTGTTATACAATCTTCCTAAGCCAACCCAGTTCAGATTTCGTCCCCTCCTCAAAACACTTGGGTGGTTCTCCATTCTTCAATGCCTTAGCATAGCACTCATTCAAGCTGGCTTATGATCTGGCCCCATTGTGCTTTTCTAAAGTTTTATCCTGATATTTCATCAGTTTCCCCTTTGTTTCAGCTTCATTGGGCTGTCGCAGCTATGATGCCTTTCTGCCCCACACCTTTACTTACGGTATTCCTTACACCGGAGTTTTACTATTTTTGTCTATTCACATTCCACACTCTAGCTGAAAATGTCATCTCCTCATGAACTTCCACTAGTTGGTCCAGCTGGATTTAACTTCTGCTTTTCTCTTTTCTAAGAAAGTATTTTAGTCTCCTATTAAATTACCTGTAATGTTCTGCTTTGTATTAAAGTTAGATA